AAGTAGCAGCGTGTCGGCAGAAGAGCCTGCAAGTAGCAGTGTGACGGCAGAGGAGCCTGCAAGTAGCAGCGTGTCGGCAGAGGAGCCTGCAAGTAGCAGTGTGTCGGCAGAGGAGCCCGGAAGTAGCAGTGTGTCGGCAGAGGAGCCCGGAAGTAGCAGTGTGTTGGCAAAGGAGCCTGGAAGTAGCAGTGTGTCGGCAGAGGAGTCTGGAAGTAGCAGTGTGACTGAAGAGGAGTCTGAAAGTAGCAGCGTGTCGGCAGAGGAGTCTGGAAGTCGCAGTGCGTCGGCAGAGGAGTCCGGAAGTAGCAGCGTGTCGGCAGAGGAGTCCGGAAGTAGCAGTGTGTCGGCAGACGAGTCCGGAAGTAGCAGCGTGTCGGCAGAGGCATCTGACAACAGTGAGTCGACAGAGAGGTCCGGAAGTGGAGCTGGATCTGTAGAGAACATCCAAGCTGCAGGTATCTTGTTTGTAGTTTGTTGTTGTCGTGATATCAGTGGCTGTGAAAAGAAGTGCTATGTATGTTTTCTTAGTGTTCTGAATATTATCAGTGATTACATTTACTTTCCGTGGGCAACGTAGCACAAGCCAACTATGGGCTTTAAAAAGGATCACTGTTTATTTCAAAAGTCATTTTTCAGAATTTTCCAGGGCACCATTCCAAAGTGCATACATCGTACATGTCATGTCACTGAATAGACGACGCAGTATTTTCACACTGGCTCTCGTTTTCCCAGCGTGTCCAGCAGAGAAGAGAATCTGCAGCGCAGCCGGAGACCCGCACTACAGAACGTTCGACAGAAGGCGTCACCACTTCCAAGGCCCGTGCAGATACACCTTCGCCAAGGACTGCGGAGCTAGCAGCGCCTTTACTGTAGAAACTCAAAACGTACCGCTAACCGTCAGGCCGGTTTCCGTCGTGCGGGAAGTGTACGTGAAAGCATACGGCTTTGATATCGGAATTCTTCAACGAAAGAAAGTAACGGTGAGTTGTGATTTTTTTTTTCTTGCTCGATGGAAGTTTATGATGTTTTGGTGTCACTATATCAGGATGACTCGGACTATTGCAAATCTGGTCAGCTTGGCCCAACGCCCTGGGTCGAATGCATCGTAGGCAAAAGAAGCCAATGTCCAACGTTCTTAACCTAACTGTATATCCTTTATATTTGTCCGATAAGTTCGAACTGTTGAGTGCAACGATTTTGAGGCCCCAAACCGCCAGCGCTTATAGCTAATCATCATGAGTATATAGTCCGATATTTCTCTGTATGATTCCTGTATTATTCTAGAATCACATTTTCAAGTTTTATGCGTACATCTGGTGTGGTGTTTTGGTCTACATGCAAAGAACGGAAAGCAATCTTTCCTCGGCACAGGTGAACAGCGTGCGGAGGTCGCTGCCCATCTCTGCAGCAGGCGGTAAGATCAAAGTGAGCGTGAGCGGCAGGTACGTCCGGGTGCGGCTGCCGGACCTGTGTGTGGAGGTTTTCTACGACGGGCGACACAGGGTCAAGGTAAGCGTGGCGCAGACTCGGTTACGTTACTTACGTTAGGCCCGTGTCACACATAGCATAATATATGCCTCCCGTCCGCCTGAAGACCATTGTTGGCAGTCAGTCGTAAGCAAGGCCATCTGTGGTTGAAATTGGTCGGTGAGGTTGCCTATTAGTCTTGAAGTCGTCTGTGAATTGTTTGTAAATCAGAAAAGTCACGCATTCTGCTTTAATGTGATCAGAGAAGTGAATTAAAGCCGAAATAGGATAGAATCCAGGTACTCCCAATCCAACGATGATCTCGGGGAAAGGGTGGTAAGGAAGTCCTGAACGTCTGCTAAAGACCGTTATGGTGCAAAGCCTATAGCTACTCTATCCATATACCTACCCCAGTACATGTATATCTAGTACTTATCTGACAGTGAGAAATGACCTGTTTGAAAACTGTCCTACAGGTTGAGGTTCTGGATAACTACAAGGACCAGATGTGCGGACTGTGCGGGAACTACAACGACAACCAAGGAGACGACTTCATTAAGGCAGACGGGACCCTCGCTTCGGACTGGACAGACTTCGGCAACAGCCATGTGGTCGACATGTCCACGTACGTTTGGTGTACTTTTTAGCTTCATCAATAAAATCAGTTGGCATTCAGAGAGGTTACAGTCCCTTTGGCCAAGCATGGCATTACAACCTTTTCATCGTAATGTGCACATCCTCCTTCATTACCTTCTTAAATGTCAAAGAAGGACGACCACGTACATACGACTTACATCCATAAAAGCACATGTACAAGAAATAAACACTACATTGACTGAAACATAATCGTTTGCTCTCACTTTTAAAGATTTAATATAATTGCAGAACATAAAGGTTGCACTCTTGTTATCGAGCATCTTTTTCTCTATCTCAGGTGTCCTGGAGGCGACATCGGCCCGACGTTTGCTGAAAGCCAGCTCGAATGTGACTCCAGCCTGAACGCCACCGTGTCGGCGCCGGACCAGTGCGGGCTGCTCCAAGCCGCGGGCGGCCCGTTCGCGGTCGGACACGACCTGGAGGACCCTTCGGGCGCCTTTGAGGACTGCGTGTACGACATGTGCGCGCGGGATGGAGACGTCGTCGGGCTGTGCGAGAACCTGGAGGCGTACGCGGACGCCTCGCGTGACGCCGGCGCGGCCGCCTTCGCCTGGCGAACTGCAGACCGCTGTCGTACGTTCCGTTGTCATACTAGGTTCATTACTTCTGGTGGGCGGAGATTGGGTTGATTGACAGCGTTGTGACTGGGTATTCCCTAGCTTAATGGTTATAAGGTAGCCGGATGTGTAGAGTTATTCTTATGACTCGGCTTTCCACTGGTAGTAGGATGTAGTAGAATATTTTTTTCGGGCAGACCATCTTGTCTCAGAGCAGACTCTAACTCTGGTTTCTGTCCCACAGCTTTGGAGTGCCCAGAAAACAGCGCGTACTCCACGTGCACAAGCGCCTGTCCTGCGACCTGCACGGACCCGGACGCTGCCGGCAGCTGTTCTCGCAGCGGCTGTGTAGAAGGCTGTGTGTGCGACGAAGGCTACGTCCTGAGTGGGCTAGCCTGCGTACCGCAGGAGCAATGTGGTTGCACCGACGACCAAGGGCGTTACTATGTGGTAAGCACAATAGGCTAGGAATGATGTCTTTGTTTTCTGTGCTTACTGTATCGTCGTTGTGATTCAGGGCGTGGCTCTAAACGGCTCTAAAGACAGCCTGCTGTAAAGAAACGTCATTTCGTGGATTATAATGTTTTCAAGTAATGGTGCTATAATTTTTTTCTTTATTATACATTGCTTTAGCTTGAAGAGAGCTGGGAAGAGGATGGTAAAGAGTGCGCTTGCAGAGAGGGCAACAGCATCGTTTGCGAGGGTGAGACAAAACTCTTCGTCCTTATTATTTTAAGAATATACAATGACGCACGTCTGTACCTTGAGTGATCCTTTTTGAGCATATTTTCAATATCAATATACTAGAACAAGTTACCCTGTGGGCATTGCACCACTTGTTTCACTGTTTTTCCCAGAATTGTCAGCAACATTGTTTAATCGCACCTTCACTTAGTTCACTTTTCATTTGAATACGTAACAAATTGTACTCAATCCAAGGAGGAATAAAAAATGACTGACAATATGTATGCACCTTTGAGTCCTGCGCAATATATAATAGAGGATACATGGTTAATTTGTTTATATGTTAATTGTAAATTGTGAATTGTTGATTACAATTGGTTGATTTTCAATTGTAAATATAGATATAACAAGGTCAGCAGAAACGTCTGGAGGTGGCAGTGAGTCAGTAGAGTCATCTGGAAACAGCATGTCGTCAGAGAGCTCCGGAAGTAGCAGCGTGTCAGCAGTGGAGTCCGGAAGTAGCAGTGTGTCGGCAGAGGAGTCCGGAAGTAGCAGTGTTACTGCAGAGGAGCCTGGAAATAGCAGCGTGTCGGCAGAGTCCGGAAGTAGCAGCGTGACGGCAAAGGAGTCTGGAAGTAGCAGCGTGTCGGCACAGAAGTCCGGAAGTAGCAACGTGTCGGCAGAAGAGCCTGCAAGTAGCAGTGTGACGGCAGAGGAGCCTGCAAGTAGCAGCGTGTCGGCAGAGTCCGGAAGTAGCAGCGTGTCGGCAGAGGAGCCTGCAAGTAGCAGCGTGTCGGCAGAGGAGCCTGCAAGTAGCAGCGTGTCGGCAGAGGAGCCTGCAAGTAGCAGCGTGTCGACAGGGGAGCCTGCAAGTAGCAATGTGTCCGCAGAGGAGTCCGGAAGTAGCAGTGTGTCGGCAGAGGAGCCTGGAAGTAGCAGCGTGTCGGCAGAGGGGCCTGCAAGTAGCAGCGTGTCAGAAGAGGAGTCCGGAAGTAGCAGCGCGTCTGCAGAGGAGCCTGCAAGTAGCATCGTGTCGGCAGAGGAGCCTGCAAGTAGCAGCGTGACTGCAGAGGAGCCTGCAAGTAGCAGTGTGACGGCAGAGGAGCCCGGAACGTAGCAGTGTGACAGCACGAGGACGTCCGGAAGTAGCAGCGTGTCGGCAGAGTCCGGAAGTAGCAGCGTGTCTGCAGAGGAGGCCGGAAGTAGCAGCGTGTTGGTAGAGGAGCCTGGGAGTAGCAGTGTGTCGACAGAGGAGCCTGGGAGTAGCGGCGTGTCGGCAGCGGAGTCCGGAAGTAGCATCGTGTCGGCAGAGGAGCCTGCAAGTAGCAGCGTGTTGGCAGATGAGTCCGGAAGTAGCAGCGTGTTGGCAGAGGAGCCCGGAAGTAGCAGTGTGTTGGCAGAGGAGCCTGCAAGTAGCAGTGTGTCGGCAGAGGAGCCTGGAAGTAGCAGTGTTTCGGCAGAGCAGCCTGGAAGTAGCAGTGTGTCGGCAGAGGAGCCCGGAAGTAGCAGTGTGTCGGCAGAGGAGCCTGCAAGTAGCAGCGTGTCGGCAGAGGAACCTGCAAGTAGCAGCGTGTTGGCAGAGGAGCCCGGAAGTAGCAGTGTGTTGGCAGAGGAGCCTGCAAGTAGCAGTGTGTCGGCAGAGGAGCCCGGAAGTAGCAGTGTGTCGGCAGAGGAGCCTGCAAGTAGCAGCGTGTCGGCAGAGGAACCTGCAAGTAGCAGCGTGTCGGCAGAGGAGCCCGGAAGTAGCAGTGTGTCGGCAGAGGAGCCTGCAAGTAGCATCGTGTCGGCAGAGGAGTCCGGAAGTAGCAGTGTGTCGGCAGAGGAGCCTGCAAGTAGCAGTGTGTCGGCAGAGGAGCCTGCAAGCAGCAGCGTGTCGGCAGAGGGGCCTGCAAGTAGCAGTGTGACTGCAGAGGAGCCTGCAAGTAGCAGTGTGTCAGCAGAGGAGCCCGGAAGTAGCAGTGTGTCGGCAGAGGAGCCCGGAAGTAGCAGCGTGTCGGCAGAGGAGTCCGGAAGTAGCAGCGTGTCGGCAGAGGAGTCCAGAAGTAGCAGCGTGTCGGCAGAGGAGCCAGGAAGTGGCAGCGTGTCGGCAGAGGAGTCCGGAAGTAGCAGCGTGTCGGCAGAGGAGCCTGCAAGTAGCAGCGTGTCGGCAGAGAAGCTTGCAAGTAGCAGCGTTTCGGCAGAGGAGCCTGGAAGTAGCAGCGTGTCGGCAGAGGAGTCCGGAAGAAGTAGCGTGACGGCAGAGGAGCCTGAAAGTAGCAGCGTGTCGGCAGAGGAGCCTCCAAGTAGCAGCGTGTCGGCAGAGGAGCCTCCAAGTAGCAGTGTGACTGAAGAGGAGCCTGAAAGTAGCAGCGTGTCGTCAGAGGAGCCGGCAAGTAGCAGTGTGTCGACAGTGGAGCCTGCAAGTAGCAGTGTGACTGAAGAGCAGCCTGGAAGTAGCAGCGTGTCGTCAGAGGAGCCTACAAGTAGCAGCGTGTCGGCAGAGGAGCCTGCAAGTAGCAGCGTGACTGAAGAGGAGCCTGGAAGTAGTATCGTGTCGGCAAAGGAGCCTGCAAGTAGCAGCGTGTCGACAGAGGAGTCCGGAAGTAGCAGCGTGTCGGCAGAGGAGCCTGCAAGTAGCAGCGTGTCGGCAGAGGAGCCTGCAAATAGCAGTGTGACTGAAGAGGAGTCCGGAAGTAGCAGCGTGTCGGCAGAGGAGCCTGCAAGTAGCAGTGTGTCGGCAGAGGAGTCCGGAAGTAGCAGCGTGTCGGCAGAGGAGCCTGCAAGTAGCAGTGTGTCGGCAAAGGAGCCTGCAAGTAGCAGTGTGTCGGCAGAGGAGTCTGCAAGTAGCAGTGTGTCGGCAGTGGAGCCTGCAAGTAGCAGCGTGTCGGCAGAGGAGCCTTTAAGTAGCAGTGTGCCTGAAGAGGAGCCCGTAAGTAGCAGCGTTACTGCAGAGGAGCCTGCAAGTAGCAGTGTGACTGCAGAGGAGTCCGGAAGTAGCAGCATGTCGGCAGAGTCCGGAAGTAGCAGCGTGTCGGCAGAGGAGTCCGGAAGTAGCAGCGTGTCGGCAGAGGAGCCAGGGAGTAGCAGCGTGACTGAAGAGGAGTCCGAAAGTAGTGAATCTGGAGGGAACGGTTCTGGACGGGGAGGGGCTGGAGGAAGGAACCCTAACGGAGCTGGATCTGGAGAGAACTCAGGTATATGTTTTAATGTATTATCATGAAAGTTTATCTGTGTTGGTAGTTACATGTTTAAGGTTCAAACTTTTGGTCCAACACAAAAATTCTCTCAGTAGACTGATTATGTATTAATATTGCCACCAAGAAGTAGATACTTTTTGCTGTTGATATAGTTTATTCTTAATGGTTTTTTTTTGGTTGGATCTGGTCTGATCACATTCTTTTTACATTTGCTGGGCAAAATAGGTCAACCGAATTCCGATGGCAGTGAGACGTCCGGAAGTTCCAGTGTGTCGACAGAGGATTCCAGAAGTTCCAGTGTGTCGACAGAGGAGTCCGGAAGTTCCAGTGTGTCGGTAGAAGAGCCTGGAAGTTCCAGTGTGTCGGCAGAGGAGTCCGGAAGTAGCAGCGTGTCGGGAGAGGAGTCCGAAAGTGGTGAATCTGGAGGGAACGGTTCGGGACGTGGAGGGGCAGGAGGAAGGAACCCTAACGGAGCTGGCTCTGGAGAGAACTCAGGTATATGTTTTAATGTATTATCATGAAAGTTCATCTGTGTTGGTAGTTAATTACATGTTTAAAATTAAAACTTTTGGTCCAACACAAAAAGTCTCTCAGTAGACTGATTATGTATTAATATTGCCACCAAGAAGTAGATACTTTTCGCTGTTGATATAGTTTGTTCTTAATGTTTTTCGGAGGGATCTGAACAATTATTTCACATTTGCTTGGCAAAATAGGTCAACCAAATTCCGATGGCAGTGAGACGTCCGGAAGTTCCAGTGTGTCGGCAGAGGATTCCGGAAGTAGGAGTGTATCGGCAGAGGAGTCCGGAAGTTCTAGTGTGTCGACAAAGGAGTCCGGAAGTTCCAGTGTGTCGACGGAGGAGTCCGGAAGTAGCAGCGTGTCGACAGAGGAGTCCGAAAGTTCCAGCGTGTCGACAGAGGAGTCCAGAAGTAGCAGCGTGTCGGCAGAGGAGTCCGGAAGTAGCAGCGTGTCTGCAGAGGAGTCCGGAAGTAGCAGCGTGTCAGCAGAGGAGTCCGGAAGTAGCAGTGTGTCGACAGAGGAGTCCGGAAGCGGTGAATCTGGAGGAAATGGTGCAGGACGCGGAGAGGCAGGGGCACCGGGAAGGGGCAATGGCGGTTCTGGATTGGGAGAGATTCCCCAAGCTCCAGGTAACTTTTTTATGTCATTGCTTTGAGGCTGTTTTTAGAGTTGCTTCTTATGTTGTCTAGAGCAACCTGAATATTAAAAGTAATTATATTTACTTTTCCTGGGCACCGTAGCGCATGCAACGTATGAGCTTGTCTCTGTGTCAACTTGAATTCTAGTGATACAGAAAGATCACGGTTTATTACATTAATGAAATATTAAAATTACGATATCTAATCAGAAAAAGTCTAAAGCATATGTGAATGCTTGTTTTTGTTCTCTCTTTCTCAAATATAGATTTTACCATCTGCACGCCGAACCCATGTTATAACGGGGGTGCTTGTACTGCCGGGGACGGTGTCTTCACCTGCACCTGCCTTCCCGGCTTCTCTGGGGATTGGTGCGGAACAAGTGCGTCACCTTGCTTTGATTTGATTTGATTTATTGAAATTGTAACAATACAATACACGTGGGACAAATGCAGCTGTTGCCGATGTTGTGGCCCACACATAGAAACAAATACAGGACAGACAGTACTCATTTTCACTTATGTGAGAAAAGTCGTCTAAAGTGCCTTTCCCAGGGGCACAAGATCGTTGGCATGTCAGGACTCGAACCCAGGACCTCTTGGTTCTGAGTCGAGCACTCTGCCGTTACGCCACACGACCTTGTTGTCTTTGGCAAGATATGCAATCGTTTATAGTGTTTTGTTCAAGATTTATTTTATTTCATTTGCATTTATCATTTATGTTTTGAGGATAGGACCAATTGTGTAAATTTGGACGACAGCTAACATAATAAACATATCCATTGTTTATCCCATGCCTATAGGACGCAGGAAAGAACATGGCAATAAGATTACGGACCGTCCAATCGGCTAGAGATGCATTAAGGGCGCAATGAGATGACTTGCGATACCTAAACATTTTGCTTACCCTTGTATTTGGCTTAGATATTGACGACTGCGACCCCAACCCGTGCCAGAACGGAGGCGTCTGTGACGACGGCGTGGATTCCTACACCTGTGACTGTGCGGCCGGATTTGAAGGGGATCAGTGTGAAATCAGTACGTTTAACTTTCATTCATCCAGAATTTGCATGTCAACATACGTAAGAAATAAAGAACTAGAAAGGTAACATTTGCAAAGCAAATGCACAATGTTTACCTCCCTATGTGGCCTGCTCTGATAATTCTTACTCAAACATATTCACATATGGTGACAAAAAAGGAGTCAAAATCCCTATAAAATTGCAACATGATGTACCCCAACACAAGTCACCATGGTGACAGACGGTCTGGGTCAGGTCATTGACCTGGTCAGTGTTTGGAACGGAAGAAGAAACAGAGTAAAAATAATATGTTTTCCTTCGGTAAACATAAAAATAAGATATTGCTTTTGATGCAAGTTGATTGTCTAACAATCTACATAGTATATCCCATTCAGAAAAAAAGTCGTCTATGGGCACGTAAAATGTTTATTTTTTTGACTACAGATATCAACGACTGTGACCCGAACCCATGTTATAACGGGGCTGCATGTACAGACGGGGATGACACCTTCACCTGTACCTGTCTACCCGGGTACTCTGGGGACTGGTGCGGCACAAGTGGGTGTGACTTTTGTAGTCTTCGGTTTTAACTCAGAGAATCAAGCAATGTGAAGCTCATACTCCAAAAACGGAATGGAAAATTATAATAAAGACGGTCTAGCTTTAGGAACATTGATATGTCTATAGAATCTATGCAATCGCTTCATGGTAGTGTTGTGATGTCGTTATTGACGACAGTTAACGTATCCCATGTCTCTAAGGTCATAGGAAAACGTATGTTAGAAGAGGGGCCGTACAATCCAACCAGCTACAGGTACAATGAGGATAATCTTGAAGTTGTACAATAAAATAAGAATAACTACTTAACGCTTTTGTTGTATTTGATTGCAGATATTGACGACTGCGACCCTAACCCATGTCAGAACGGAGGCGTCTGTACGGACGGTGTGGATTCCTACACTTGTGACTGTGCGGCCGGATATGAGGGGGATCAGTGTGAAATCAGTACGCGATTACCTTATATTTTCCATCCACCCATCCATCCTTCTATCCATTCATAAATTCATTCATCCATGCATCTATGCAGCCATCCATCCATTCATTCATCCATGCATCCATCCATCCATGCATCCATCCATCCATCCATCTATCCACCCATCCATCCATTCATCCATCCATCCACCCTTCTATCCATCCATCCATCCTTCCATCCATCCATCCACCATCCTTCCGTTCATTCAACCATCCATCCACCCATCCATCCTTCCATCCATCCATCAATCCTTCCACCTCTCCATCAATCCTTCCATCCATCCTCCCATCCATTTATCCATCCATCATTCCATCCATCCATCCATTCATCCATCCATCCATCCACCCATCATTCCATTCATTCAACCATCCATCCATGCATTCTCCCATCCATTCATCCATCCATCCAACCAACCAACTAACCAACCAACCAACCAACCAACCATCCATGTATTGTCGTTTAACTTTATGAAAGAGTGCTCCCGATACAAGTCGACAATTTGACAATCGACGAACAATCTGTCATTAAGAAAAAAAAAAGAAATCTGTGTTAATGTTCTTAGATTATATGATCATCATGGTTGGTAGCATTCATTCTTTCGTTTCATTTTTAATCATTTGTTTCCTTTGAATGCAGATATTGACGACTGTGAGCCCAATCCATGTCAGAATGGAGGAATCTGTACCGACGGCGTGGATTCGTACACTTGCGCCTGTGCCTCCGGATATGAGGGGGATCAATGTGAAGCAGGTAGATGCATATGCCATTCAAATTTCACAGGTTCTATCGAAGAGAAATTGTCATAGTGTTCTTATATTATAATCCTTTGTGTATTTTCTACCTTATGGCATGTTGTGTAGTAAAAATACTTATAATGTCAACTTATCATGAAAGTTCATCTGTGTTGGTACTTACATGTAAATTAAAACTTTAGATCCAACACAATAAAGTTCTTTCACCTGCTATAGAGCTTTCGACCAGTCACTCTGATCTTCCTCAGTACACTGACCCAATAAGGCTTGTCACGTGGCTTCTTTGAAGTGTGACATCAACACTGGGTTAAAGGTTTAACTTTAAACATAATGTCAACTTGTTTTACATGTTTACAGACATTGATGGTTGTTCTCCCGACCCGTGTGATGCCAACGCCGAATGTCAGGACAACGCTGCTCCCGACACCGGAGCCACCTGTACCTGTAATGACGGGTATGAGGGAGATGGAGAAACAGAGGGATCCGGATGTACAGGTATTCCGGCAGTGCCTAAGAAGTATAATTTTAAATGATTTCATACTGTTCTGCTACCACTCGTGTCTTTTCCCATGTTGTATCATCTGCATACTAAAGCTGCAAGGAAAGTTGTCTTGATAATTTGGAAAAAGTCCACGTTCTGCCTTTATTCAAAATGAAATGGTGGCTCACTGAAAAACAACGCCGCCCATGAAATCGGCATCGCGATTCGGGAAAATGAACAGCATTACGTACCATTTTTACAGCTTACAGTCCCTACCTGTGATATTCTTCATGAGCATAAACTTATGACATTAAATAATGGCAAGAACTTGGAAAAACATCTTTGCTGCCCTGAAATCGCTTTGGGTGCCATTAAGCCTGGACGTTCCGTATCTTTACAGACATCGACGGCTGTTCTCCCAACATTAACCCGTGTGATCCCAACGCCGCATGCGGAGACATTGCCGCTCCCGACACTGGGGCTACCTGCACCTGTAACGACGGGTATGAGGGCGACGGAGAAGTATGTACAGGTAATGACATCTTCCTGGAGTTTAGTCAGGTTCATGCTGACAGCAACAGAGCACGCCATTCTGAAAGGTTACACATATAACTGTTGCAACAATACTGGATCAGTTGAGGGGATCTAGATCTTGACCACAAACAAGGGGAACACATCCTTATTTCTCACCCCAGGGGACATCCCTAACCAAAGATAGTTACTCATTTTCATCTGCGTTGAGAGAGGAAACAAGTGAAAAGTGCTGTTTTAAGCTTTTCCCAAGAGCACAACATTGAGGCATACTAGGCATGTTGTGGTTTACTGCCAAGTTTTGCAGACAGCATATAACCTCTTCATTGACTAGATAGTGATAGTTTACAAACCTCTCTTAACCATTGTGGATTGTATAATTCCAGCCGTACAATGCCCCACGCTGATGGCCCCTGAACACGGAGCGATGAGTCCTGAAGAGGCGGACTCCTACGTGTACCAGGACGAGGTGGAGTTCTCCTGTAACGAGGGATACGAACTGGACGGCGCCGACAGGGTGGCGTGCCAAGCGGATCGAAAATGGAGCGATTCTGCTCCAACATGCAAACGTAAGACATATTTTGTGACTGGAATCGTACAAACATGACAATAAACGATATAGTTTGTGACTCCTTCTCCTCCACTGCGTTTTGAATCCGTAGTTGTTGAAACGTCCTGAAGCTGCATTCAGTATTTCTTCATCTCCTTCCACTGTGGCTTGTGTCTTGCGAGCTCTCTTAGCTTTTGGAGTTTCCTTTCTGTTTTAGGAGGTCCAATTCAGTTCCTGTGTACAAAGAGTTTGTTTTATTATTCACAGCATCAAAAATAGTGCATGTACCTTTAACTCATAATACATGTACAAACCTGTCAGAGGCTATCGGCTTTATCAGTTGTATTTACTTTGTTATACCAGCTGTACAGTGCGACCCGTTGTCGGCGCCGGCCAGGGGAACACTGAGTCCCGCAGATGCCAGAACATATCAGGACGCCGTGCAGGTAACCTGTGAGGACGGTTACGAGTTGGACGGAGCCGCTAGTGTGACCTGCCAGGCTGACGGTACATGGAGCGAGCCTCTTCCGGAATGCAAAGGTACAGATACGGCCTGGCCTTCTGGCTGTTTGTTTGTTTGTTTGTTTGTCTATTTGTTTGTTTGTTTGCACAATTGTTTGAGCCTTTGTTTTTTTATGAGAAAATTATTGCCGCTTTTTTTGTAGTCACGAGAGAACAGGTCAGATAAAATATAACAAGATACAGGTAATCATATGATTGGAATCCTATATTGGAGTCCATAAACATATACGTACAAAGTCTATATTGTCGTCTTTCAATATATTCAAACAAGGTTGATTCAAGACTTTTATTAATGTAGATGATGAAGCTGAATTCTAGCATCATTATTCAGACTGGAAAAGTCTGCAAAATGGTATATATCTATTTCTTGATCATAAAAAAACATCTGGGTGGTACCTTCAGTTTAGGACAACTGATTTCTAAGGTAGCCCAACAGAACAGTTACAAAGGGCATAATTAAATAATTAAATAATAATTAAATAATTAAACATAGAGAAAATAAATATTATGAACAAAGAGTACAAGTAATCAATCAATCAAACATGATATGAGAAGAAAGTTTCAAAGGTTCGAAATGTTTCATGATTTCAGCCGTGCAGTGCCCCACGCTGATGGCCCCAGAACACGGAGCGATGAGTCCTGAAGGAGCGGACTCCTATCTGCGTCGAGAAAGGAAATAGGCATTAATGCCAATTTCTCAAGGGCTCAGCATTGAGGCCTGCTTTGCATGTTGCAGTAGACTCAGGTTCCGTTTACTCTGTGGTATCCAAACGTTTTCTAACATTTGTATAATTTGTATAATTCCAGCCGTGCAGTGCCCCACGCTGATGGCCCCAGAACACGGTGCGATGAGTCCTGAAGAGGCGGACTTCTATGAATACCAGGACGAGGTGGAGTTCTCCTGTAACCAAGGTTACGAGATGGAAGGGTCGTCGTCTGTGACGTGTCAAGCTGACAAAGAATGGAGTGCTCCTGTTCCAACATGCACAGGTAAGAAGACATATTAACGATGCAATATCTCCCCATGGCTTAACGTTATACTATAGCGTACATGCTGTAACGCGACATTACTCCATCTTGTATTAGCAGATGGAAAAAGTGGATCTCTTTACCCAGTACCAAAGAACGTATCAGCATTAACTTAATAGTTTGAAAAGCCATTTACCAAGTTGAACGGTTTATTCACGATTACAGCTGTGCAGTGCCCCATGCCAATGGCCCCTGAAAACGGAGCGCTGAGTCCTGAAGGAGCGGGCTCTTACGTGTACCAGGACCAGGTGGAGTTCTCCTGTAACGAGGGATTTGAGCTTGATCTTGAGGGCGCCTCAAGTGTCACGTGCCAAGCTGACCAGGAATGGAGTGCACCTGCCCCGACTTGTGCACGTAAGACAATGTCTGATGAAGGCTATTTTTTATTATCATTTGCCATTTTATGTACTCTTCTTTGTCAATGGTGGGGCTAAGATTAGCAACCTGCTAGAGATGCCCACTACTGTGTCCTGTACGTTTCTATGTTTCTCAATAAAAAGGTCTCATTGGCTACATGGCGTTTGGTCTGAAACTAACATCCACTGATTGTAGTTAGCAAAATATCAGTTCAGTTCAATTCACTCTCAATGAAATGACCGCAGTTTCTCCAAAAGTCCATGTCGAACGAAGCTCACCGTCTCGAAGTGCAAAATCCTCATCGATTATCTCCTTTAACAGTTCGAATGTCTACAAAATACTAAAATTAAGTTAACTCTGCGATCCAACCACACATTATCAGTGTACTTGCAGCTGTATAACCATTCGTCGGTGTAACACACCGAAATGTGTTGGTACAAGATGCACAGTCTAATATATATTATGTGAACTGCTTTCTCTTGTGCTGCAGGTATTGATCGGTGCGATCCTAACCCATGTCAGAACGGTGGCGCGTGTACCGAAGTTGGAGATTCCTACACTTGTGACTGTGCGGACGGATTTGAGGGAGACGACTGTGAAATCAGTAAGTGGCATTTATCGAAATAGAAACAGATTACGGATAGTTGATATGTATACCCACGTTACTTGGGCCGTTACATGTCATAATTTTGATTGCAATTGGCCCTCGAGCGTGGATTTGGAATAAGGTTCTGATAATTTATCAAATTCTCGCAATTCATTTTAAAAGCATGTAGTTTAATACTTGGTTATTTTACTGTGAATACCAGGCAATACGTCAACATAAAAAGAGGAAGCCTTGTGCTCAAGAACAGTGACATTCGACGTGGAGTCCATAGAACTATACCTACCTAGAACTATAGCGATCAGCTAAGCCGTTGGGCAAGAACAAACCCAGATGGAAGAAAAGTCATGGTCTCTGTACAGATAAATTTATATTTCTAATGAGCTTAGACAAACCTTGTGTATTGAAACATATCTGTTCTTACATTTTTGCCATTACATGTACTAAGAAACGAGAAGAAACCGAATTTACTTGATTGTAGCTACTTGACGATGTATATATGTAACGTTATTCCATCCTTTTTTGTGACCTGTACTTAACCCAGTGGGTATGTGTGTACAATAAAGGTCTTTATTCATTCATTATGTCTCACAAGGGACAAAAAGAAGAAAAAAAGTTAGTATGTCACCCTAATCGTGGACAAGAAAAGAAACCAAATCATTTAGAAGTATGTTTTTTCTTCTTGTTTGCAGATATAGACGACTGTACCCCCGATCCGTGCAGGAACGGAGCGGTCTGTACTGACGGCGCCAACTCGTTCAGCTGCGAGTGTGCTGACGGATACCACGGGCCTACGTGTGAGCTAGTTATAAGTAGGTCTAATTTGCATATTTTTTGCTTTCTTTCGTCTACCATGTAGCTCTTAAGTGGCGCCTCTTCCTCTAGAACTCAAATCTAATACTGTAAGTTTTGCGCAAAATTTTACGTACATTTACAGGGGGCGATCTTCTAACAAGATACACAAGATAATTATATTGCAATTGTTTGCTATCACAGCAATGTCAGACTATGTGGCCTATGAAGATCCCCACCACACAACATTCGACGGAACGTCTCACGTCTGTATGTGTATCAGCATAGCCGGTATAACCGCCATTCTGCGTAACACACCAGCTAACATCTGAAAAACCTATGACATTTCCAACGTTTTCTTTACAGCAAAGTCGGTCTGCGTGGCCTACGGAGATCCCCACCACACGACGTTCGACGGGACGTCCCACGACTTCCAGGGCATGTGCCGCTACACCCTGACGAAGGACCTGAGCGGCGGGGCGGACTTTAACGTGGAGGTCCAGGAGGTTCCGCTGCCCTGGCTGGAGAGCGCCTCCGTCGTGAGGGAGGTGTATCTGGAGGCATACGGGTACACCGTCGGCATCCGGCAGCACAAGATCGTGTCGGTGGGTAACATTATCTTCTGCCTGTCTTAAAGTTGCGTTTTTTTTCTTTATTATATGTATTTATTTAGTGGTGCCGTAAACATAAGTGCTTTCCATTTGAGTGCGGCACTATCATGTCCTGTACCTTTTCTATGTGATTGAATTTTAAAAAAACTAGAAAGGCCAATATTTGCTTTGGAGCAAATACAGCGATGGGTTCACCACATTTTACGACATGGCAGGGAAAGAATGAGAAACACAAGGGAAAACAATGATTTACATTGATATAACTATAATATGAAGTAACATACAACTAAAACAACAGTTGGATAGCTATTCCCTACTTTATTGGTTAGGATTTTTAATTGCATAATGCAAACTGTTGATTTTCAAAATAAAAAAAAAACGTTCATGCCCCGCATTCCAATGCTGTAGCAGGAAAGCTTGAAATACCTACCAAAACACTTGAATAAAGACATACTGTCAGTATGGAAATGCTCTGTGCAGGTGTTAATCAAGTTAAATCCCAACAGCCAATCAGCAAGAAATGCTCTGTGCAAGTGGAAATGCTCTGTGCAGGTGTTAATCAAGTTAAATCCCAACAGCCAATCAGCAAGAAGTATAGAGGAAAGCTGCATGCCTATTGGTTGATGCCCTGCATTCCATTGTGATGACTCATGCCCAGACGTGGTAACACTAACACAGTAATACATTTGCTATAACACAGCCAAAAAACTCAAATAAAACCATTCTAAAAGCCTGTATCACAAAAATTTAAAAAACGCCTAGGGGTATTTGCCCACTGTACCTCCATACCAAATTTCAGGAATTAGGCCCTAAAATGAAGAAGCTGAATCCATTTAAAAATGGCAGGAAAAGAAGAAGAAGAAGAAGAAACATCAGAAAAAGCAATATGGGTTCACCACCACTTCGTGGTGTGGTGAACCCATAAACATTATCTTCGCCTTCACGATACATATCTTCTCTGAGTGGATTTCCTTTTTACACCTCTACTTACAAAATGTCAATTTCTCACCCTGCTCACCTGGCCAACTCTAGACCTGCAGGTCTGTCAGTCGTCAGCCTCAGGGATAGATCAGTCCTTGCAACCCTGTCTTGTGTCAGGTTTTTTACTTCCTTAAAACCCCTCTGCTCTCTCTCTCTCTGATCTCTCTGATCTTTCAATTATCCTTGAGAATTTATTCATTTATTTATTTATTCGGCTGTAAAAAGACAAATTGTACAGCCAGGGCAGCCCAACTAGTCAGGCGGCTATTATTAAGGGCTTGCCCTGCTGACAAGACAAACATTTACACATACATTACAACAATACAATACATCAACATGGAGAGGTCAGGGTCACACACCTAAGGCTTATAGGGGTCGCCTAGAGAGTCCCATAGCTTCCTTTTGAAGGAGGCAATAGTGGTGGCAGTGCGAGCGTCAGTGGAAAGAGTGTTCCAGAGTGACGTTGCTCGGTGAAAGAATGTTCTCTGAGAATATCCTTGAGAACATGTCTGAAAACTAAACTCTCTGATGTCCTGTCGCCATCGGACGTTGCTCACACCTCACCAGTGACCTACTACTAAGCGAGGTTATGTTAGTGTTCGGAAGACCACATTCGGCTATATTGGGCAGAGGCTCTACGGCCTTAAAAACTACATTTGTGCCCTTAAAACAGGTGGGGGATGAGGTACGCACGCTGCCCTTCAGCCTGGCCGGCGGCAGGATCCAGGTCCAGCTGAGCGGGCTGTTTGTGCACGTCCAGACCGATCTCGGCGTGGAGGTCTTCTACGACGGGAACCACTATGCCAAGGTAGGGTCCGTACATCAGTACTTTGTAAGGTTGCACCGCATGTCATCTGTTGTCTGCAGTTTGGTAAAAGAAAGAAGCCATCAAAAATGGATTTTACAAGTACTAGTCTGTATTTTCTTTTACATATTAGTATATCTTGGTAGTCCGTCGCAATCAAAATTACTTTCAGTGTCGTTATATTAGTACATAGTGTTTGCAGTGTTAGCGGTTTACACCTATTGCACCACGTGTAGTCATCTGTGCATTTCACTCTTTAGGACATGAATACGCAAGAAAACTATGATATCATTGGTCAACGTCGTTGGTCCAAACTAACGCCCGCATTTTATGACCCCCCTTCCAATTCTGCCGCAGGTGGTGGTTCCCTCGAACTACCAGAACCAGGTGGGCGGGCTGTGCGGAAACTTCAACGGCGACCCTGACGACGACTTCACCACCCCGGACGGAACCGTGGCGTCCGATGTGAACACGTTCGGGACCAGCTGGCTCACCAGCGCAGCGTCGTACGTATGACTACTTTAGATAATCTACAAGCAGATCCCTTTCGGTGGTAAAAAGACAGTATCAAATTGGCCAGGCAGTGTCCATTAGCCAGAGAAGGTCGGCCGCCACCGACGGGTGGGGGTAGCGACAAAAAAACAGCCATATATAAAAAGGTAACGATCATTCCCCCACAGCCTCTGCTTGGAGAGTATATATACTTTAGATACTTTGGGTTCATCCTGCCACTCATACCAACGGGTGTAACGGGGAGGTTCAGTCAACGTTCTGTTGCTAGCTTGTTAGTTAAGCCCCTGTCACACATTCAGACCATTTCCCCGAACACCAGCCGACCAAGTTTGGCACTCTGAACAGATTTAGGCCACGCCTACCTTTCTATAGGAATCGAATTTGAGTCTAGTTCTAGATTCTGTGCGATGATGTTCGCTGTATCCTTATCACTAGTAACAGTATCAACGACATAGGATAAAGATATAAGCCGTGTCTTCCCTTGTTGTACTCACAATGGGATGTTTATTTATACAATCTCTTGTAGTTGTCCAGAAGGCATCGTCAGCCCGGTAGGAGAACCTCCGCGTTGCGACGACGGCATCCGAGCAGCTGCCGAGTCTCCGGACCGCTGCGGGCTGCTGAAGGAGCCGGGCGGACCGTTTGGTGTCTGCCACGACGCCGTGGACCCAGAGCGCTTCTTCCAGAACTGCGTCTTCGACATGTGCGCGCGGAACGGGAACGTCGTCGGTCTCTGCGAGGATTTCCAGACCTACGCTGACGCCTGCGTGGATGCCGGCGTGCATTCGTTCTTCTGGAGAACCCACAGTCTTTGTCGTAAGTCACTCCTTGTGCAGCATCTTTTTCTATTGAGCGTCGTGGCAATAGAATAATATACTCTCTGATGTCCTGCTTTCTTTCAAGCATATCTTGTATCTTTTCATGATTCATTTCTGTGTCTGTAGCTGTATCGGTATACCCAGTATAATCACCCTTCGGCGTAACACACCAGCTTCTGTATCTGTACAGCCAGTATAACCACCCTTCGGCGTAACACACCAGCTTCTGTATCTGTATAGCCGGTATAACCACCCTTCGGCGTAACACACAAGCTTCTGTATCTGTATAGACGGTATAACCTCCCTTCGGCGTAACACACCAGCTGTCTCTGTATCTGGATAACCGGTATAACCGCCCTCCGGCGTAACACACCGGCTTCTGTATCAGTATAGCCGGTATATCCGCCCTTCGGCGTAACGTCTGTATAGACGGTATAACCGCCTTTCGGCGTAACAGGCACGCGGCGCGGCGGCAGCTGGCACCATTTGATACACTCAAAATTCAATGGTCCTCCTTTTTTTATTATCATGCAACAGCCGGGCAGTGCCCACCACACAGCCAGTACTCGGCTTGCACCAGTTTCTGCCCCGCGACCTGCGCCAGTGACACGCCCAGTGACTGCGCCCATGACTGTGTGGAAGGCTGTCAGTGCGACCCTGGCTACGTGCTGAGCGGACAGGACTGCGTGCCAGAGGACGACTGTGGCTGTACCCACAGCGACGGGCGCTATCTCGCGGTTGGTACAATTCCATTTTTTTTTAAATCTCTTCATACGTTACGTTATGTTATCTTATGTTATGTTATGTTATGTTATGTTACGATACGTTACGTTACGTTTATGTTACGACTGTGGCTGTATCCATAGCGACGGACGCTATCTCGCGGTTGCTACAATTCCATTTCTAACACCTCACGTTACGAGACGTTACGTTACGTTATGTTACGTTACGTGTTTTTTATTGCATTTCACAAAAACATACATAACACATACAGAAAAACAAAAGGACAAAGTTCAAGAACTAGTAAAGACATAGACCACGGATCCATAATAGAAGGTGGAAAATAAATAAACTATGACGTAAATAAATAATATCTACCATAAATAACAGCAGAATAAAAAATGGTAGATATTACAACAAAATAGTAATGTTACGTTACGTGTTAACGTTACGTGATTTTCGATTAAGACGTACTATCTTGCTATTCTCGGCTTTCACGTGACGTCACGGGACATTAGCATATGGGCGCGCGCCGGGCGCCCGCCATGATTGTGCCCCTTTGTTCTAGCGTCCCTTTAATCACCAAGGGCAAGGCAGCGCGTGGGTCAACTTTATCGGTAAGTTTCTCTTTTTCTTCGTAAAATACGGCCACATGAATGCCTGTATGGAGCAGGGGATATTGTTCGGAGGTTTGTGGTTGAATATTTTGATGTAAGATCACCGATTCTTAGCGTAATCTTAGCGTAATCTTAGCGGATTCCCTCCGGCGATTTTGTTTGTGTAATTATGTACTTAACCCCGTTTCGGTTTCGCTGCGGCTTTGGTTACACTTTCAGTTTCTGATTCTAAATACTAACTCCTGGCGAATGGAATCCAAGTAAGAATTAGACATTACGACTTTAGCTCGCTGTCGACAGAAATTTAACAGCATTTTGACCGCAGAATTTTGATTGTTTTTCGGTAGATTGCGGTGTTGTAATGGGGGAGGGGGGCGATTGTTTACGTGTCATGACAGTATGCCCCGTTTTGTAGGACCCCAGTAAGAATGTTTAAATCTTTTTCACAGAACGTACATTTGGCTGATTGTGGCAATTTTCAGTAGTGATGTACCAGTATTTACGGTATTTTGTCATACTTAGGTCAGCAACATTTTGTGGTCTGGGTGAAATGTGTTACACTTAGCTTTACCTTTTGAGAACAGTTTTTTTTTGACTGAGTCTCACATGTATGTGAATTATTTTTAGCAGTTATACATGCATGGACTGGACTGTGTAAGTATAAAGTCATATACATGCATGGACTGGACTGTGTTAGTATAAAGTCATGTTTAGTCTATCATTCTAATGAAATTTTCTTTTATTGCATGTTTTTTAGGTGCTGATTTTGGCTGAATCCAGATGTTACCCTGTCCTCAAACCAAGAGTGTACCAGTACTCTCAAAGTATGCCCTGGCTTTAGAAAGCCATGTCAAGCGACGATATCTGGAGAAGATTGCAGTCATAGATGTCGATCCAGTGACCGTGCCAAGTGATCAGTTTGATCCTCAGTGTTTGCCACCTGTGGAACAGTCAGACTTGTTCAGCTATCTAGTCCTTCAGACTAGCCATTATACAAACGAACAGTTTAAGAACTACAAGAGTCTAGAGGCATACAACCACGTCGTGTCTGGCTTTGTCGCAGCCGTCAGTGGCAAACTTATCGCAGGGAAACATGTAGTGATCGCAAAAGTTCGACACTCACAGCGAATGAATGACCCCCTGGTAGACTTGTGGCTGATAATCAGGACAGATGGAGCTGTCATCTCTGCACACTGCCTCGGCTGCAAAGCAGGACTGGCAGAGTCATGCTCTCATGTAGCCAGTGTTCTCTTCTACCTTGAGTGCTGGACTAGGATCAATGGGAAACTGGCTTGTACACAAGTGAAGTGTTCCTGGATTTTACCCACATATGTGAAGGAAGTCCCTTATGCTAGAGTAAGGGACATTGATTTCACCTCAGCAAAGAAACTGAAAGAAAAGCTGGACAAAAAAATTGACAGTCTGGAGTCACAAAACAGTGTCCAGCGTGAGGAAGCACCTGAGAGTGTCCAGGCATCACATGCGGGCAGCCAAGAAGCACATGAGAGTGTCCAGGCATCACATGCGGGCAGCCAAGCACCTGAGAGCGTCCAGGCATCACATGCGGGCAGCCAAGCACCTGAGAGCGTCCAGGCATCACATGCGGGCAGCCAAGAAGCACATGAGAGCGTCCAGGCATCACATGCGGGCAGCCAAGCACCTGAGAGCATCCAGGCATCACATGCGGGCAGCCAAGCACCTGAGAGCGTCCAGGCATCACATGCGGGCAGCCAAGCACCTGAGAGCGTCCAGGCATCACACGCGGGCAGCAAGAAAGCACAGAGTGTCCCAACAGAAGAAGAAATAGGTGAACTGTTTGCTAAGCTAAATAATTGTTCATCTAAAGTTGCAGCACTTAGCTTACATAAGTCATATGCAGATCAGTTTGTAATGAGCAGCCGTGAAATACCTGTAGTTTCAGATTTATTTGAGTCCGACAACCTTGACCTACAGTTTCACGAGCTACTGCCTAAGTGCCTAGAGGTTAAGATCGAGCTCACAGACAAACACATTGATATGGTGGAAAAGGATACTAGGACACAAGCAAAAGGTCCTGGCTTTTTCAGGCACAGAGCAGGGCGGATTGGGGCGTCTGTCAGTGGCACAGTATTTCACAGTAATCTTGCACAGCCACCCCAGTCAACACTGAAGTCTATCTGTTACCCTCATCTCTACAAAGTGAACACAAAGGCCACAAGACATGGGTGTGAGCAGGAAGAAAGGGCTATCGATGTATATAAGGAATATATGGAAAGTAATCATGTCAACCTCCAGATAAAGAAGTGTGGTTTATTCATAAGTAAAGAACACCCTTACCTGCACGCTACCCCTGACTTCCTGGTGTCTTGTGACTGCTGTGGTATGGGATGTGGGGAGGTTAAGTGCCCTGTCTCTGTGCCAAACTGTAACTTTGATCTGTATGTAAATAATAAGACTTCATGCCTGGAGAAGGTAAACGGGGACTTCAGGTTGAAGAAGAGTCACAGCTACTACCATCAGGTACAACAACAACTGTTCATTTTGTCAGACAAGAGTTACTGTGACTTTGTGGTTTGTGTGTGGGATGTCAATGGAAATCCCCGTTTTGTACATGACAGAGTCAAACCTGACCCGGAACACTCCAAAATGGTGCTTTTCAAGCTCCAGGCCTTTTGGAGGATCTGTGTTCTCCCAGAGATACTAGGTCGCTGGTATACGCGTAAGTGTGATGTCCCTGTTAAGATGCCTGGTCCAAACTCGGTGTGTTTTTGCAGGGGACAGAGAGGTCTAGATGACGTTAAGTGTAGTAATCCTGACTGCCCATATGGAGAGTTCCATCAGGCATGTTTGGGAATAGTTGGGGTTACTTTGAGAAAGACATGGTACTGTCCCCACTGCAGTAGACTACCAGAGTTAAGGAAAACAAGTACCGGTAAGAAGTCAAAAAGGAAGCAAACTGAACCATCAGCAGTTAGCCAGGCTGCCTTACTTTGCAGTACTGTATGCCTGTGTAAGGCAAAACCAGCTCAGGGAGAGAGGCTGCTTGAGTGTCACAATGCAGCATGTGACCAGGGAAAGTATTTCCATCTCAATTGTTTGGGTATGAAACGGATGCCAAACAATGCGAAAACCACGTGGCAGTGTAAGGCTTGCAAAAAGAAAAAGCCATCTAGTAGTTCCCAAACTTACAAAGGAAAGGAAACAAAGTCTGTTGATTCTACATCTACCTCTAGAAACACCAGTGATGTGAGTAGTGATGAGGAGGATGTTGTTATCACCAATGAAACCACAGAACCACTGGATAAGTACCGTAGTCTGTCCAATCTGACTAAATCAGATTATAACATAATCAGAGATCCAAATGGTTGGTTAACGGGTGAAATTATACACTCTGCTCAAGTACTAGTTAGGCGAGTAAATCCAGGTGTGGAAGGACTCCAGCGTCCAGCACTGGGGCCTGCCAGGAACTTTGATGTTGTTACAGCCGAATGTATTCAAATCCTGCACACAGGGCAAGGTCACTGGGTCTGTGTTAGCACTGTGGATTGTTTGCCTGGCAGGGTAAAGCTGTATGATAGTTTGTATCATGATGCTGTCAGTCAAGAGGTAGAAGAGCAGACAGATGATCTGCTTGGTGGTAACCTAGTTTCCATAGATTATGTTCCTGTGCAACAGCAGACAAACAGCAGTGATTGTGGGGTGTTCTCTGTAGCATTTGCTGTATGTTTAGTTTTTGCGAATGACCCAAGGCATGTGACGTTTGATGTGCCAAGAATGCGTCCACATTTGTTGAAGTGTCTGAAGGAAGGGTCAATCACCATGTTCCCAAGTTTGTGAAACCCTGTCCATTTTGTATGGAATGTTATCTTATCTCCTGTGCTATATTTCATACCAGTTAAGTTGGTGTATTGACCAATGTATTGAGTTTTGCTGTTGATTAATATCTCACAGGATCTTCCTAACAGGCTGACATGAGAGCCAAATGTAAATGTATTACTATTACTCATACTCTGTGAGACCCATTTTATATGAAATGTTGTAACTTTATTGACCTACTGAGTTTTGATGTACCTGTAAAGGTCTGACTAGCATCTTATGAACAGACTGATCTGAGAGCCATATGTAAATATTCTTTTGCCAGTACTAGTGAAGTATGTCTTACATTTTCTTAAGTCAAGCATTGAGTTACAAGTGTCTTATGAACAGACTGATCTGAGAGCCATATGTAAATATTCTTTTGCCAGTACTAGTGAAGTATGTCTTACATTTTCTTAAGTCAAGCATTGAGTTACAAGTGTCTTATGAACAGACTGATCTGAGAGCCATATGTAAATATTCTTTTGCCAGTACTAGTGAAGTATGTCTTACATTTTCTTAAGTCAAGCATTGAGTTACAAGTGTCTTATGAACAGACTGATCTGAGAGCCATATGTAAATATTCTTTTGCCAGTACTAGTGAAGTATGTCTTACATTTTCTTAAGTCAAGCATTGAGTTACAAGTGTTTCTTGTCTGGAAATAAATGTTGAGTCTTGCAACTAAAAACTGTTCTTTGCAGTCTTTTATTCACTTCAGGTTCATATGTATATGTTGATACAATTATATACATGATCATACCCATATCGCAGAATAACTCCTGCTACCAGTATTTAGAAAGTGTCGAGCAAAGATACATGTATCTTAGTTAACTTATCATCAGTATTCAACATTCTTCATACCTCTGTATTTGGGGACAGGAAGAAAACTAATCAAATGGTACAATCGGGGGACAGAAATTTACAAGTGCTGAGCATACTCTGATGATTCTGTCAATCAATGGTACTTGAGAGTCACGGCAAACTAAGTAATCTGTGGGGATGGTTCCTTGTAAGAATGTATACTTCCTTCGCAACAGACCAATAACTCTTTCCACATGTATTCTTACACTCGCAATACCCCTTGACTTCTCCACATCAACTGGGTCTAGCTGTGCCTTCCCCTTAGTGAAAGCAGGAATTACAAGTTGTGACTGTTTCAGCCCAACACTTTCATCAATTGTGAATCCTCTATCTGCCATGACTGTGTCCCCAGGTAGCAGTTTGTCCAAGAAACCACAATTCTCAGTTAGAAACTTGTCTGATGTTCGCCCGCCCCAAGCCTCTGAAACAAAAGAGACTGTCCCCTGAGGTGTGATACCAATAAGAACTTTAATGGTGTTATGGTGCTTGTAGGAAGAGAATGTCTGTGCCCGGGCCAAGAGGTTTGTAGGTTTCTCAATGAACACTTCGAAACAGTCAATGATAACAGTCACTTTCTTACCAAATGTGTACTGGAAGCACATTGGCATAGTTCTCCACAAGTCCTCCCTCTCAGGCCACGAGATAAAACAAGAAAGTCTGGTGTCTAATGCTACAATCCAGGCGCTGAAGATTCTTGAAACAGTGGGAAGAGAGACTTGAAACCGGTAAGCCAGTTCTTGGAATGGTACATTGAGTCTGAGTTTCATAAGAACGATCATAAACTCCTGGAAACTATCCAGATTCTGACTTTTACGGGTAACAAAGGGAGCAACGTGATCAAAAATAACCATGAGGACTTCATATGACGGCAGACCAGTGTAAAATCTAACCTTCTCATCTGATTTAAAGTAATCTTTGTTTGGGGCTTGATAGCCTGGCGCACCAAACATGTACTCGAACTCCTCTGTCTGTGTTGAGGCAATCTTCGACTCTTGGTACTCTGGAACACTGCGAAAGACATACTGTAACTCCTCTGTCTGTGTTGCGGCATTCTGTGGCTCTTCACTTTCTACCGAACATGCAGCCATTTCCACATCTAGAGGTACTGGTTCAGCCTCGGCAAAATCGATCTGTCGCACACGGTGCCCAGTGGGGTTTTGCGGCGTCCTTTTCGCTGCAGCTGGAGTTGCGTGTTGTTCGGCGACCCGCTTCTTCTTGCGTTCTTTGGCTCTTTCAGCCCTGGCTTCTGCCTCCCTTTGCTGTTTCCCCTTCGCATCTTCCTGTTTGTAATCTTTTCTTCCAAGGTTCAGCGTGGGAACCCAGTCAACATTGTGTCTATCCCACACAGCTGCAGCCTTCCCAGAAACAAAATGGCGACCACATACCCGCTCAGTTTGGAGAATGTTCTTTGTAGTCGTATCTCCACGGCTGATTGCCGAAATCCACAGTCTTCTACGTTCTTCAGTGAGCTTCTGATGTTCCTCTCCTTGATGAGTAACCACTTTAGGTACGGATGCAAAACTTATTCCCTCCTTTTTGTCGGTTTTCGATCCGCAACCGACAATAATACAGTGAACCATGGCGCTAGCTAGGGACGCGGCTTTGTTCGCCGCGTAGCGCTTGGGCGCAACAATGGCGCGTAGCAACCGTTGCCAAGGGGCGGGTCACGTGACTGAAACCCAAGAATATTTATAAACATGCCTGCGAAGGATTCCAGTCAGAATAAAAAGTATTCACGTAAGTACATGTACGTCGTTGTTTTGTTTCGTTGTGTTGGACATAACGTTGGATTCAAATGCAGGTCATTGTGGTTTGTTGGTTTAAAATCCGGACTTACAAATGCGTTTTTTATTAGCTCGGAAGCCGCTGGGGAGAGAGCGGTCAGAACTGCGTCTGCGAGAGGGGGAACGACATCACGTGCGAGGCCTGGGAGTGTGTGGAGGACGGAGGTTGCGACGGTGAGATTGACTCTACGTGTAGTTTCTGTTGAACATTTGCTGAGCTTTGATGTTGTTTGTTACCAGGCCTAAGACTTAGATGCTGTTCTGAAGAATGCATCCCCTATTCTCCATTCCCCAAACAGTTTACTATCAGATAACTGTAGGTTTCTGATCCCTGAGTTCTAAACCCAGTATAGTATAGTTACCAGACTACTGTGTACATGTGCACCGTTAACCTTTATTGCAAACTCCATGCATATCGGGAGTTTGGGTCTATATTAGAGGCTCTGAAGAATGTGAAGTTTACTGGAACACCGTTTGCACTGCGTTCTATGTTGGAGCTCATACTACTTAATGGAACTTCAACTGCTTCAACGGAACAAACTTCAGATCATTATAATAAATGTGTACCTTCGTATGTGAATATACTTATTTGCTAGTGATCCATTTGCAAAAGTCCTTACTATCTAAACAGACCTAAAAACCTTACCTCGAATGCAGATGTGGACGTGTGCCAGACAGTTGACTGTGGAGCGAAAAGGGAATGCGTACAGACACCTGGCGGATACGAGTGTCCATGCAAACGGCCCTACAGGGAAGTGGAGGGATCTTGCCGAGGTTTGTGTCACTTTGATAGTTTTTTTCTTATCTAACAATATAGAAAGTACAAGACACAGTGGTAGAAAACTCTAGCGAATTCCTAATTTCAACCTGCATCATCAACTGCTTTTTTTCTTGCATGTTATGTAAAGGCTGTACACTAATGATATTTCATACTATTAAAAGCTCTTAGCGCAATATAGATACGTTACTTACATCTCAATCCGTCTCTGCCACTGGATATGTTTCGGCGTACCTACATCTATAGCTAAGTATTTTTTTCTATTCAGACAGTTATTACAAGTTTATGTCGTCACCAACGCAGACAACGAACAACAGACATACCTATGCATTTGAGTATATTCGTGAGAAGTGCCTTTCCCAAGGGCACAAGATCGGTGGCGTGGCAGGATTCTAACTCGGGACCTCTTGGTTCCGAGCTGAACGCCCTGTCGTGACGCCACACATCTAAGTCTTTCTACACACTGGTGTGTTTTACCGACTTTACAGGTTTCTTTACGTACTCCGTGATCACACGTCTCCTGTCAAATGAGTTTTACGAAGAGCTCTACGACAGTAACTCCGACGAATTCAAAGCGCTTGTCAAGGAAGTTCGCACAGTGGTAAGAGCTGGAACCTTTTGGTATCCCATTTTTTCTTTGCGTATCACTATGCCTCAACTTAGCAGCTGAACACATATCTATACAAGTATCACTAAGAGTGTATGTTACTTTTAAAGTAGAATTAGCAAGGACTATATACAACTGCATAAACGTCAACTTAAACAAGTTTTAGAAAGTAAACTCTCTTTTGCGGGTTAGCCTTCTGTAATACGGTTTTCTTCAGCACTTGCTGTACAGAATATTACGATCTAGCTATAGGGTCCTGGGAATCTTCTGACAATAATTCAATGAACCACCATATCGCTACTATACTCTGGTCTGACGAACACATATAATATAATTAGAAGTCAAACCTAACAAATTTTATAATAGTGAGCATTCAGACTCGTCTTTTGTTAGGGTGACTTGCAATTAGCATTATGACATGAATTCGCGATAAATTACCATCGCTACTATACTCTTTGGTCTTGTACAAAGTATTGTTATAAAATCCACAAGTCAGCAAAATGACTGCGAATGATTTTGACCTTAATATACAATTCATTCATTCGTTCATTCATTCATTCACGCATTCATTCTTCATTCATTCATTCACTCATTCATCTACTCATTTATTCATTCATCTCCATTCATTCATTCATTCTTCATTCTTCATTCATTCATTCACTTATTCATTCATTCATTCATTGCAAATCCATGCACTCTCCACAGATAAAAGACCTCCACGCCAAGGGAGAGCTGACCAAGAACGAGTTTCTGGACACGGACATCACCGAGTTCGTTCCTGGAAGCATCATCGCGCACTACAAGCTGTACCTGGCAGACGACAGCACCCTGTTCCTGGAAGCGGGCGATGACGTGCCCCACATTCTCCAGGAATCGCTGAAGAAAATGGCCAAGGCTCACAACGGGACGCACCTGATGATTGAACACGAACGGGGACACAAGGTCTCAGGTACGTGCAGAAACAAGCAACTCGCTAGGGCAACAGCACAATTCATCATGTTAACCCGGCGGAGCTCTTTGTAGACCCCTGAATCGAAATCTTTACAAACGTCTGCTACAAAGTCTGCCTTGTTCCCCCGACGACCAGTGTCTGTCATGGGAGTAGGTAGATAGGTAGGAAGCGAAATCCCGAAAAAGCTAGGGTGTTTGATGTTTGGTTCAGTTTGACGTTTAACACGAGCATGGACACTAGGTCTCACGTATATGGTCTCCACAAGACTTCATTGCAGGCTGAATGAATAGTAGAATTCGGCCTAAAAAGGGGATTTAACTGGCCAGGGAAGTTGCCTGCGGGCAAATGGGCCCTCTCATAGGGGAAAAGCACAATGTGACAAACTAACTCACATATATATGGACCCAGTAGTACTATCAGTTACTAACTCAGTAATAAGACTTCTTAAAGTGTTACATAAAGGATTGTAGTCATTTCTGTCCTTTCCTTGTGAACTTACACAGACTGGCCTTTTAACGCGTATACTTTTTTGCCCGTAAACATTTTTTTTATTCCAACATTTCATGACTAGTCACTAGACATGGTGACGGTACGTATACATTCAAGTTTTTTTCCACTTATTTTATGCCTCCACCAATGCAGAAGACAAATTCAGCACAGGACAGGGCAATGATCAATTTCACCTGAGTTAAGTAAGGAAAGTCGTAGAATAAAAGTGCCTTTTCCAAGGGCCCGGGAAATAAATATAAAACCTGTTGTTCTGCCCAGATCATGACGAATGTGCGTCACCCGAGTACAATGACTGCTCGCCGTTCGCCACGTGCCACAACACCGTCGGCTACTTCCACTGCGCGTGCCTGGACGGGTATGAAGATCTGTCGGCGGGCTTTGACGAACTCCCGGGACGCGTTTGCCAAAAAGGTACAATTCTGATCCTTATACTGCACGGAGAGTAACGGATAGATGTACGGATTGTATCGCGAGTACATGTATTAAAGATCTAAAGCCTGTCCTATATCATCAACCAAATATTGGCGTCAACCATATATATATATATATATATATATATATATATATATATGTATTTAGAGATATACAGATACAGAGATACAGATTATATATATTTCTATATATATAATCACAATGTATGCTATGTTACTTATGTACATTTTCCTGTATGATTTAACACATTGTATTATGTTTTGTTTCATGGGCCCCTGTAGAATCTGGCCATGAAGCTGTAGGGGCTACCCAGGTATCTCCAAGATGAAACAGACACAAGTTCATTGATTTCTTCTGTAACATCCATTTTGCCGTTCCTGTCCTTCCAGCGTTAGTGGCGGTCTCCCCAACAGTATACATGTGGGTGGTCGTGGCTGTGGTGCTGGGTCTGATGACTGCAGTTCTCCTGCTTCTCGCATGGCGCGTCCGCCTGGCCCGTCAGCGTGCGGCGTACCAGAAGGACATGGGAGGTAAGTTGTCGAATCAGCGTTTTAGCCTTCCTTATGCCTAGGTCACATTTCCAAACCGGGGCCCGGCCGGGCTGTTTGTATGAACGAAAAACTAACAATTCATATCAAGAATATACAGGAATAGTGCCCATGGTAATTATCGACCACTTTTCTGTGTTTCCTTGTCTTTTACATTGTACTTTTCGTTCCATAAGACTGCCCGGCCGGGCCCCGGTTTGGAAATGTGACCTCAGCATTAGTTTGCTTCACAAGAGACAGCATGATGCTTTAAGTTCTGTCAGTGGTGCAGTAAATTGAAAAAAAAATCAACTAAAGAAAATAAACTTTTGTCCATGCGATTTGCTACGTGTCTTTAAAATTAAGGTATATACGAATTAAACATATTGATTGGAAACAAACGTTTCGCAAACTTTGTCTTCGTCTTGAAAAGCCTTATGTATTTCTTCATTGAGCAGTTCGTCTCTACAACAAGACAATCAATCAGTCGTACCATTAGCACTTAGCTAAAGGAACTTGTTAATTGCAGACTATGTATAGATTTTAATTGTGTAATGCTTTCTTAATGTTTAAAAGTGAGTTAAACCATGTTACGAGGAGTGTAACAAATCAGTGTTTTAATGCGTTTTGAACGAAATTCGGTTGTGTGTGCCCGCGAGATCCTTACTGAATAAATTTGATTTGCATTTCTTTGATGTATGGAACAGAATCAGGCGCTGTCTTTATAGTCTGGAAATTATTTTTTTTTTAATTTATTCCAACATGTCATCACCAGACGTGGTGACGACACACTCAAGTTTCCTCAACTTATATTAATGCCGCCACCAACACAGGGGGCAAATACATTACAGGACAATACTTATTTACACCTGAGCGAAGTGAGGAAAGTCGTGTGAAGTGCCTTTCCCAAGGGCACAAGATCGGTGGCATGTCAGGGCTCGAACCCGGGACTCTTAGTTCCGAGTCGCGCACTCTGCCGCTACGCCACACGACCCCACCTTGGTTGGAAATTAGTTGACAAAGTGTTCCTCTGATTTCATTAGGTATGAAGGACACAGCTCCAATACTGGCAAAGCAGTACGCCGCCTGAGTTGTAACCGAGGAGACCGGGAAAGGCAGACGATATCCGTCAACAGGACAACGGGACAACATTGATCGTACTGCCTTCTGGTAGATGACTTACAAAGTAACTATATTGCTATTGCGCATTGCTGCAGCTTATTTAAAGAATGTTACCCTTATGTATAATATATCTATATCTATAATATCTTCATAGCATAAAGTGTCCTTATATGTAATATCTCTACTTACAAAAATAGTAATAAAAAGTCGATTATCATACTTAAAAGTTCTCTCCTTTGCCTTACAGTAGGCTTTACCAGATGATCCGTATCTTCACACGGTTTAGGCTTGCTTGGTTGAAGTTACGATATAATGACAGGAATAGGCCCACTATTCGACGACATTGCTCGAAGTAACAAGTGTTATAATGAATTTTTTTCTCTTTATTCAAAGCTTGTTGTAAGCCACAAAGGCTAGTGTTTCATTTAGGTGATATTAATTAATAGAGTTATGTGCATACAGCCGTTTAAGCCATATTTGGCACGTGTTCAACAAATGTATCGAAATGTTATTGAAGACTGTCTAGTAAATTTATGTTCACTGGAAAATGAACTATATTTGGTTACAGCAAATAAAATTGATTTTATCGTTGGTTAAATTTGTACATCCATCCTGGGAAGTATATATAAAAGTAAAATTTAAATATTGATATTATAAATGTTCAGAATAATGATCAGTCAGCGGCGGCAATAGAGTATACGAAAATATAAAAATGTTAACAAATTATGCAAAAGTACAATCATGCAAAAGGATTTTCGTGGGGTCAAATTTTGCCAGAGCATATTTTGGAATATTTAACAAAATGAGTTTTTGAGTTAACCTGCAGCCTTGTCTGATCGGTAATAGCTACATAGGCGTGAGGGAAACTGACTCTTGTTTTCTGTTCCATGATTCTGACTGTTGTTTTATTTCTCTAAGTGCACTTCACCTGCAATAAATCTGGCTACACGCTTCATGTTGATGTCCGTCTCTTATTGTTGCTGTTGTTGTTCTTTCACCATTGCCCTTGGACCCTTGCTTTGAGGTAGCTTTGACATACGTGACAGAACAATGGGGTGATTTCGTTAAAATAACTTTATATGCACACGGACGTTACCGACTCAACAAATTAATTTTTACCTTTAGTTAGTGAATTGAGGGGATTCAATGCAAAGTGCCCTTCTCAAGGCCACAACATCGGGACATGTCTGGGGTTTGAACTCAGAACTTCTTGATTCTGAATCGTGTCCAAAATAACGCTGACAATGTCGTGCTCTGATAAGGAAACATACAAGGCAGAATAACAATTGGTTCTAATGGTGGATACAATCTAGAGGCAGTACGTGCCAGTCGCAACTGTAATTATAGACAATTATGGGCACACGTTGCCCCGATGGGGTCAAGGACTCATCCTGCTTCGTGAGCAGCAATTAGACCATCAGTCCGCCGGGCAGACTTTCCCTGATGTGTTTCCTTCATCTGTCACGCATACAGCGAAGTCCTAATTATTAGTCCGGGGAAACGGAGTATCAGAAGACCACAGGACATTTTTTTCAAGAATAGTGAGGCATGCCCTAACCGCTTGTACCCTCGTACAATCCTTGACATTAGCACATTGGACACACCCGGTCATTGACTCGAGTCACATTCTGCCACATTGCCATCCCACGACAATTCATCTTGCCTACTTGTAGCTCATTATTTACCTTCCCTGACATGTCCTGCCGTTGTCTCTGTCGATATTCAGACGCGGCAAATTCCTTGATTCCGAGTCCTTGTCAGTAAAATTACAGCTTTACATACAACATAACATGCAAATATGTTTTGGCTGTAGACATATATGTACGTTATACACCCCCTTTGCGTGTGTGCACTGCATAGTCGTCATAATTGGTGTTATGACGTCACCTGTCACAATATGATTAATTAAACTGCGTACTTTCTGACGCACTGGTTGCACAGGAGTGTGAGGATATAACCTGGCCTGTCTGCGTGAGTCCCGTGCGCAGTTGGTCTTGGTCAGGACAACCGACCAGACGCGTGCCAAGACAGGTCATCGTCGAGACTATTTTGACGACTCTCCGTCAAGAATTTTTGGACAACTCTCACGTCAAGCCTATTGGGACAACTCACTTTCAAGACTTCAAGTTCACTACAGAAAAGTGAGTTGAATAATTTCACCTATACTTATATATGTAAGAGAAAATTTTTCTATAGCAAATTTTGTTCTATTGCCCTCTTCTTGGTGCTGCCTGACTTATTGCGTAAATAAACCCTAAATGTTGTCATTCAACAACGAAATGATTTATACACTGTTGCTGTTCTCAATCTAAACTCTAAAACGTTCTGAAACATCAAGTTTGGTGGGTCATATCTATAATTTGTTACTTTGCCATATTGTACCGTATTTATTCGTGAAACGAACACATAGGCCTAACATGTGAGTGGGTCGTAAAAAAATCCCTTAAATTTTTCTCGATCATATCTCCTTTATATGAGTTTGAACAGATGATAGGCAGTACGTATGCTTCTCGCATCCACTACTTAGTCTTTTTCCAATTGTCTTAAAAATGTCCAAAATGTTACCATGGGCGTATATCTTACTTATTTGGGCACATGGTCAATGCCAACGAGATAAGAAGTCGTGAAGACACTGAACATTGAATCTTTTACAAGTCTTAGAGCCCAAATCACAAAATCAGACATGATTCCCGGCGAAAAACTGAAAATGGTATCATTCTGATAGTGTAAGATATGCTCAGGGGAAAGCATTTAGATGTTAACTTAGAATTAAGATGCACCAGGAAAGTGTATAAAGACGCTATAAATGTCGAGGTTCCTTCCCTTTCAAAACATGTTGTTCACTGGTATGCAGAGCATGCAGCAATACAAAGTTTTGTTGCCAGCAGATTGTTGTACATGCTCAATCGTTCACATTTTTATCTGAAGAATCAACTACAATTCAAACGTCTCGTGCTAGCACGACACTCCAGTATGAATAAAGAGACTATTTTTACACAACCAAGTCTTTTTCCTCAGCCGACGGTTTAACTTGAAGGATATTGGTTATATGTACCGCCTCCGTCCAATGATTATTTGTCCTTGGTTCACCTTTCCTCACTGTGATGGCCTTTCTCATTATCGAACGCGATGAGCCTCAGGTCATCACGACACAAACTCCGCCGCCAACCAAGGATCTATTCCTCGGGGTAGCACGACGCGAAAGTTGTTGCCAACTCAAGGTCTTTCGCTAAGAGCGCAATGTAATTATATGTACCATTGTATACTGTATATATTGTATACCCCTCGGCTATTCCTCGGGCTAGCACGACGCGTACACCAACTCAAGGTCTTTATGTATCAAACACGAGTTCTCGTTGGCTCTTTCTTTCCCCGGGCTAGCACGGCACCAAATTGTGCATTTACATGGCGTTACATTCGGGGCACATTTGTGATCTAAAGAATTAATTACACTGGTGACATTTTCCAAACTTTACTCTAATCACTCAGAACTTCGTCTTGGTTTGATTGGGTTAACTCAATTAACACATGTACAAAGCTATGTCATATTGACAGTACGAACTTTATTCAAGTGTTTTGGTAGGTAAGTCAAGCTTTCCTGCTCCAGCATTGGAATGCGGGGCATAAACGCTTCTTTTTATCTTGAAAATCAACAATTTGCATTATGCAACTAAAAATCCCAAATTGTTTTCCCTTGTTTTTCTCCTTCTTTACCTGCCATGTCGTAAAATGTGGTGAAGCCATGCTGAATTTGCTCCAAAGAAAATGTCGGCCTTTTAGTGTTCACCCTGTGATGATTCATAGCATCTTATTATACAGATGTTTTTCCTAAGGCAGTATCAGCGCGCACCGGTCACCAAAGTTCATAATAATGCTCATGTTCTGCCTGCCAGACAATGGGATGGAATAGTTGACACGTCGGTCGGTTTTACCCTGGTTGCCCTCAAGCTCTGGTGTCAGACTGAAAACTGTCATGTCACCCTTGGACATCTTCATACCTTGGGCATCTAAAGCGTCTGCGTCAAAAAGCTAGTACTTACATGCATAAACTATTCACAGCTAGTTTAAAAAAAAACATTCGAGACCTGTTCCTACCTGAAGCAAGGTTTTCCTTTGTGCTTGTTCAATGATATGTGCCCCCGATGTCACACGGGTGTAATTCATCAAAAACCTGTCAAACTGATCGTACTGATTCAACTGCACGTCCCCTGGCGGTCTAAGGCGAAATTACAGATCCAACAGAATCTTTGCTATTATTACAAAAAGGGCTAAACGTTCAGGCCAACACTGAGTAAGCTTTCATAAAATTGACCCTTGTACTCCAGCTTTCGGGACGTAGCGTCGGAAACACGTGATTGCAGCAGAGGGTCGAACATGTCAGATTCTGAGTCCAGAATTTTCACTTTGTCCAGAACACTCCGTCTCGCTGGACAAAATGAAGATTCTGGACTCAGGACCGGGTTTCTTTGCGGGAGGAGTAACGTCAAGACATCATATGAAAAGAAGATGATGTTTTCCCTTGTAATACCCTGTTGGCATAAATGTTACAGAAGTACTTCAGTGCCAGACGCCAAGTCAACAGCATGCGTCCCGACCTGAGGGTGGTGGGCGTGCTGCTCCTGTGGGCCTGTTTCCTGGCAGGGACGCAAGCTAGCGGTTTGTGATACCTTATACCCTTACTTTGGTTATACATGTACATAAATTATATTATTATTAGTAACATCTATGACAGTTAGTATAATACTGTATGACGTAGCACGGTCATGGGTCCTGAATAATATTGGTCAAATGTACAAATGTATTTTTAGAAGTATTTAAGTAGCAAAATGAAAGTCAGTTCTAATATGTCGCCATTTAGTCATTTAGTCATGGTTCTGACATCGTTTTATTCCCTTGACAGGACGTAGAACCTGCAGTGCGTGGGGCGACCCGCACTACACAACTTTCGACCGGCGCAGATACGACTTCCAGGGAGAGTGCAATTTCACCTTCGCCAAGCACTGTAACAGAAGTAGCAACATCAGCGACTTTACCGTGGCAACAGAGAACGTACAGATCCCTCACAGTCCAAGTTTTTCCGCTGTGCGTGACGTATACGTAGAGGCACACGGCTTCGTAGTTGGAATTCACCGAAGAAAGATGGTCAAGGTAAGTAATCTTCGCCTTTTTTTCGGGTGGAAATGCGTGGTTAATATGTGGAAATTCAACATGTCTCAATTCTAAAGATTAGCACATTGCTGTACATCTTCAACAACGTGCATATATATTATTCTTTCATCAAAAGGTGAATTCAGAGAGATACTCGCTTCCCTTCAGCTTGGCAGATGGAAAGATAGAGGTCAGGCTGTCCGGGTCTTTTGTCCGGGTTCGCCTGAGAGCATTCAACGTGGACGTCTATTACAACGGGCGGCATGAAATTAGGGTAAGCGATTCTGGATGCCATTGACGTTGTTATATAATTGGTAGTCAAAACTCCGAACTCCGCTAGCTACCAGGGTATGTATCATGGCGGAGAAGCAACGAATCGAATTTGAAGTAACTTTGATTACTACAAAACATATTTTCCCACGTGCATGCATAACAGGGTAACAGAGTCTTTAACAAATTGGATGGGAATTGAATTGGACAAAGTATCTTTAACAAATTCGATGGAAATGTTCAAGTACAGTTCTTTCAATACCATTTTAGGTGAAAGTTCCGAGCGAATACATGGGACAGATGTGTGGTCTGTGCGGCAACAACAACGGTGTCCGTAGCGACGACTTCATGTTACCCGACGGCGAAATTACCAACAGCAGAAAAACTTTCGCGAACAGCTGGTACATCGACACGAGAAATGTGACGTAGGTTTTTTTTTTTAAAGATAAACTACTATATACTGACTGACTATCCAATTTATTTTCACAACTGATTCTGTACTATTGACGCCTGCCATATAATTATGTTCTTTTGGTAAGTTTCTTTTGGTCTGTTTTCGCCTGAACAAAAGACAAAGTTGTACAATGTTGTCCAAAGACTGAACGTCTAATGTTAAATATGAAAACTATTGGGATATTTTCTGTACATTATTTTCGTGCCCAGAACAGGATATCAAAACCGGAATTCGAAGTTCTGCTGCAGTTCCTTAGAAAGTTGCTAGGAATAATCTAAATACTGTTTCATCCTTTTAACACTACATACATACCAAATATCATTACGATACATGCATGTCTTCTAGAGTTATGTTGTTCACAAACAAACAAACAAACAGACGAACAGACAGACGCACAGGCATAAAAATAGCCTTCTACGCAAATATAAATGTACGAAGACGTATATTGTATAATAAGGTTGCATACATGACAGTCCGATCAGATGAGCAATTTAAGAGGCATTTATAGAATAGAGCCAAACTTTATGCACGAGTTGTCCCTTCCTATTTTAAACGTATGAGTTCATTGAATAGCGCTGCATGTAGGCAGTGTTACATTAATGGAATCTGTTTTCTTCAGTTGTCCAGATCCCCCTCCTGGCCACTGCGAGGAACACATACGGACAGCTGCTGAAGCGGCGTGTCAGATACTAAAAGACACGGACGGCCCGTTTGCTGTCTGCCACAACACCGAGGATCCTGAGCCTTTCTTCCAAAGTTGCGTCATCGACATGTGCGCGTGGGGCATAAGCACCACTGCACTTTGTCAGAATCTGGAAACCTACGCTGACGAGTGCAGAGAAGTTGGTGTGGCACCATTTGCTTGGCGGACGGACGATCGCTGTCGTACGTAACCTGGTATATATTTTTAGAATTTGTAAAATGCATAATAAATGATATTCATTTTGTACGATACAAGATTTGCAAGTTATGTCCTACACAACCACAATCAAGTTCTTAACCACCTTTTCAGCTACTTGCAGCTACATCCCTCAAATTGTAAGAGACTCTGGCCTAAATGTGGTCATAAACGTGACAGAATCTACGAGTATATGACTCTTGTCTCTGTTTATAAATGACGTTTATTTTCAGAGTATTTGTCGGTTTTCTGGTGATGCAGCATTGCAGGATAGTACATAAAGCTATGTTTAGCAGTCGTTGAATACATTTTATGTTGCTTCCCTTTATTTTGTTTTGTCATTAACAGCTCTAGACTGTCAACCGGATAGCACGTACTCTATATGCACCACTCCCTGCCCTGCCACCTGCCCGAACCCGAACGCTCCAAAGCAATGTACCGAGAGCTGTGTAGAAGGCTGCGAGTGCAATCCTGGCTATCTGCTTAGTGGACAAAATTGTGTTCTAGAGGAGCAGTGTGGCTGCATCAGCGACTACGGGCGTTATTTCATGGTCTGTACAATTTCACTCATTGTGCATTGGTCGGACAATTATCCATTGTCCGACCACAATTGTAGCAAAATTTTTATGCCATTATGTTCGTTATGTAAGTATTGTACCGTGTCAGATTATTTCGAGTCACAGATATTCACCTGATCCAGGTCAAGACAATTCTGGCTTAACGATTGCCAGTTCTTCAAATTTTAAGTCTTTCAGTTAGACTAGCTGTCATCTTTTAAATACTGGTCACTGATCGAAGCATATTCGTTACTGATGAACCTCCTCAACAAAAAACAATAGTTGATTTAATCCAGTACCTTAACGAGCACGTATGATTTTGCGCATAACCCATGTAGCTCGGAGAACAATGGCGGGAGAACGGTTTTGACTGTGTCTGCGAAGAGGGGAACGTCATGGCTTGTGAATCCGTCACGGCAATCATGCCCATTTATATACCCTGCGATGAGGCTGCAGGCTTCAAATGGGTGCTGAGGGCCGGCGTCTGGGGATGCTACTGTGTGGAATATAAATGCTCTGGTGAGGCAGATCTTTCTTTTCTGTTGCTATGTTTAAGCTTCGGGTGAATGTTTTCCAAGGGTAATTCAGCTCATTTGCCAACAAAGGGAGTTGTACATGGCCAGCAAACCACTGTTAGTTAGAATTGCAATAATGCAATGAATTCAGAGACACTGGCTTAAGTATTGGAGGCCTTTAAATAGATAGCTTATAACTCCTTAAAACAGCCAATTGCGGCCTGTTGGGCTTCCAACAGTTTTGCCCAAAATCCAACCCTTGGTACCACGATGTATAAGCAGCGGTTTATATTCCCACGGCAGAAACGACCGTCTGCTATGCATGGGGAGACCCGCACTACCACATGTTCGACGGGGACGAGCATCACTTCCAGGGCCCGTGCAGGTACACCTTAGCTAAGGACCAAGGCACCAGCTGTGACTTCATCGTGGAGGCACAGAACCAACCGATCACCTCAGCCCCACACCTGTCCTTTGTCAGAGACGTGTACGTGGAGGCGTACGGACTGACCGTTGGACTTCATCAGGGAAAACTCGTGACGGTGAGTTACGTTTTTTTTCGGTCATTCTGTTCACTTATACGACGTTCGCAGCGTTGCAATTGCACACAGAGGTCTGATTGATTGAGCAACGATGCTGCATAACAATTCGTACAATGTATTGTTTTGATGACTTATTCAGATATACCCACAAACGAAAATGCAACCAATACAATGCCGGACTAGTCCTCAGTCCTACAGTCCTCTTCCTTTGCTTGACACATGATTATAGATAGAACTTTATTGTAAGAAATACTCTACAATACATACATACACCAACTTAGAAGTCAATGTTAATATCACAGTTAGTTGTCCTGTCTAGCTGCAAATTAATGTGTTCTCACTAAAACCACCAGGTGGACGGTGAGTTGCACTCGCTGCCCTTCAGCAAAGCCCTTAATAAGATCCAGGTCTACCTGAGTGGCCTTTTTGTCTACGTGTGGCTGGTGAACTACGGCGTGTACGTCTCCTACGATGGCTTTACTCATGTTCAGGCAAGCACATACTTCAAACGGTCTCTGTGTATTTCCATCCTGATTTGCATTTAGACTTACATTAAGGATTCAGACAATTCATTTTCTTATGTTTTTCCTGTGTTGTATAATTGTCTTAGTGCGTAACTTTGGTGCAAAAAAACACGTCTGGAGGTAATGTATAACCACTAATTATTCTGCAGGTGGCAGTTCCAGATGACTACAGTGGAAGTATGTGCGGTCTGTGCGGCAACTTCAACGGTTTCTCGGGGGACGACTTCATGACACCCGACGGGACCATTGTCGCAGATGTCAACATCTTCGGAAACAGCTGGCTCACCGATAATGAGACGTATTAACCATTATATATCTAATATGTATTAACTGACGATATGTTCTGATGCATGTCAATAATAATGCCCGATTCTTTAACGGTCTTGCTCAATGCAAAGCCACTTTTAGGAACTGGGGTAAATGGTACGACAGATGAATGGTTATATCAAAAGATGGTGGTGGATGTTTAGTTTAAAATCTTGAGGCTCGAATATGCCATCAACTATCTCAGGTACTACTGTCAATATTGGTGAGCAAGCTCGATGTAAAACATTACACAAGTAACGACGCTTTGTGGTATAGGTTCCGTGCCGTTGTTCAGGTATATCTCGTTTTAATTTCAGTTGTCCAGACGATCCCCCAACAGACCCGCCTGACGGTTGTAGCGACGCCCTAAAAGCAGCTGCTGAGGCGGAGTGCGGGGTGCTTACAGATGACCCAGGCCCGTTCGCCTCCTGTCATGGCCGCCTGGACCCACAACGTTTCTTCGATACCTGCGTTTTCGACCTCTGCGGCTTGGGAGGAGACACCAGGGGGCTTTGTCAGAACCTGGAAGCCTACGCCGAAGCCTGTGTGCAAGCTGGCGGGGCTAGATTCTCTTGGCGGACGCCAGATCGCTGTCGTACGTTGTCTGTTGTCGCTTTACAATAATTAGGAACTATTTTCTTGTTATGCATTTAAGTTGAACCTTGAACCCATTATCTGGCCTACATGTAAGTTTGTACCATCGGATAAAGTGACATTGTTTTTTTTTTCATCTGTAACAGCTTTGAACTGTGGGGGAAACAGCACGTTCTCCACATGCGCCAGTTTGTGTCCTGCCACCTGCCTGAACCCAACCGCTTCCGAGAAGTGTGACCGTAACTGTACAGAAGGATGTGAATGCGACGAGGGATTCCTGCTGAGTGGGCAGACGTGCGTTCTGGAATCGCAGTGCGGCTGCACCGGCGATGAAGGGCGTTATTTCGTGGTCAGTAAACGGGCTCGATTCTTTCTTGTACAACATAGGTTCAGACTCTTAGTCATCTTAGCCATGTTCATGAGAAATAGTCTGAACGACATGTTTTAATGTTTGATTGAAAAAATAGACACCCACATATATGTCATTCCGCCGAGTATTACATTTTAACAGTACAAGTGTACCTTATCAATATCTTGTCGGCTTACACCCGGTCATCCTAAAAGTCCAATGATGATCTGTGCTTAATGTGCACCGATAATTTAAACTCCTGCAGCTTGGAGAACGCTGGGGAAGAGAGGGTGAGACCTGCGTCTGCGAGATGGGGGGCAACATTACTTGTGAGGCCTGCAGTGAAGATGACGGCCACGAATTAGTGCTCGTGAATGGAGTCTTGGAATGCCTGTGTGTCGAGGACCGTTGTAGTGAGTATTTTGTAACTTATTCATGCTGAAAGGGTCTGAGAACAATACTTCGACGAATACGTGTTCATTTAGAAGAAATCTGAAACTTTATTCTATGCTTTTGACTATAGAACCTAACGATGAAGCGCATCTCGCTTTGGAATATACCATTGTATAACGCTTATAAGCGTTTTGACTGAAAATGTTCCATGCCGTTGCAAAAACAGACGAGTGCCTCTCCGATCCGTGTCAGAATGGCTCCTGTATCGACAGAGTCAACGGCTACACCTGTGACTGTTTTGCTGGCTATGAAGGCGTTCACTGTGAAACAGGCATGTTCATGTATTGTTGTATTATTATACATGGTGTTTTCTGATGGTGTTACAAAAATGTATGAATGATTTAAAAATGTACTTTCGTATGAGGTACACGTATAATGCATCATTTCTCCATATGCAGATATTGACGAGTGTGCAGTGAGCTCAGACAATTGTGACAGTGACGCAACGTGCACGAACACGCCCGGATCGTTCACATGCGCGTGCAACAGTGGTTACCAGGGAGACGGCAGGAGCTGTGTCGGTGAGAATCATTTGATCAAGAGCATTACATTTTGTGCATGCTTGCAGATATAGACGAATGTATCCCATTATAGTTGGTCCTATTGTACGAGTACATCCGAGATTTTCGGCAGCGTTATGCAGGTTACAGAAAGCTACCATACCTACTTCGCCGATAACAGGATTCTAAGAGGGAACTGATTTCCTTGATATTGTCGATATTCCTTAAATGCATTGTAGTGTATGATCTACAGTTATATTTCAACATATAATGTACTCTTTCTCCAGATATGGACGAGTGTGCGCTGGGCACAGATGACTGTGACAGTGACGCAACGTGCACGAACACGCCCGGATCGTTCACATGCGCGTGCAACAGTGGTTACCAGGGAGACGGCAGGAGCTGCGTTGGTGAGAATCATTTAATCAAGAGCATCACATTTTGTGCATCCTTGTAGACATAGACCAATGTATCCCATTATAGTTGGTCCTATTGTACATCGGAGATTTTCGGCAGCGTTATGCAGGTTACAGAAAGCTACCATACATACTTCAATGTTAGCGTCGATAACAGGATTCTAAGAATGAACTGATTTCCTTGACATCCTATATATATTCCTTATATGTAGTGTATGATCTACTGTTATATTTCAACATATAATGTACTCTTTCTCCAGATATTGACGAGTGTGCGCTGGGCACAGACGACTGTGACGGTAACGCAACGTGCACGAACACGCCCGGATCGTTCACATGCGCGTGCAATAGTGGCTACCAGGGAGACGGCAGGAGCTGTGTCGGTGAGAATCATTTAATCAAGAGCAGAGAGTACTTGTATACAAGACAGTTGTATGACTGTTGATGATACATGTATATTGGGTGCCAGTTATTTTGAGAATTACAATTGATATGCACAAAGACGTTACATGCTCTGCCATTGCATGAGTAGTCTTATTCTATATCAAGTATTATGAATAGCTTTATATGAGGTACACATAGAATGTTAGCCTCCTTCGCAGTCTTGTTGGACGTCGGCTTTATTTTATTCTGTGAGCGACGCAAGTAATATGTCGCCGCGAGGGATGATTTGCTGCCGAAGGAGCTCCAACAAATAATGCATCCTTTCTCTATATGCAGATATTGACGAGTGTGCAGTGAACACAGACGATTGTAACGGTAACGCAACGTGCACGAACACGCCGGGATCGTTCACATGCGCGTGCAATAGTGGTTATCAGGGAGACGGCAGGAGCTGCGTTGGTAAGAATCATTTAATCAAGAGCATCACATTTTGTGCATGCTTGCAGATATAGACGAATGTATCCCATTATAGTTGGTCCTATTGTACATCGGAGATTTTCGGCAGCGTTATGCAGGTTACAGAAAGCTACCATACATACTTCAATGTTAGCGTCGATAACAGGATTCTAAGAATGAACTGATTTCCTTGACATCCTATATATATTCCTTATATGTAGTGTATGATCTACAGTTATATTTCAACATATAATGTACTCTTTCTCCAGATATTGACGAGTGTGCGATGGGTACAGACGACTGTGACAGTGAGGCAACGTGCACGAACACGCCCGGAACGTTCACATGCGCGTGCAATAGTGGCTACCACGGAGACGGCAGGAGCTGTGTCGGTGAGAATCATTTGAGGAATAGCAGCGACAGTTGTATGACCGTTGATGATACATGTATATTGGGTGCCAGTTATTTTGAGAATTACAATTCACATGCACAAAGACGTTACATGCTCTGCCATTGCATGAGTAGTCTTATTCTATATCAAGTATTATGAATAGCTTTATATGAGGTACACGTATAATGTATCCTTTCTCTACGTGCAGATATTGACGAGTGTGCGGAGGACACAGATGACTGTGATAGCGACGCAACGTGCACGAACACGCCCGGAACGTTCACATGCGCGTGCAATAGTGGCTACCAGGGAGACGGCAGGAGCTGTGTCGGTGAGAATCATTTGAGGAATAGCAGCGACAGTTGTATGACCGTTGATGATACATGTATATTGGGTGCCAGTTATTTTGAGAATTACAATTCCCATGCACAAAGACGTTACATGCTGTGCCACTGCGTGAGTAGTCTTATCATTTGACGAGAAGCGCTTCCGTACATACACAAGACAGTTGTATGATCTACAGTTATATTTCAACATATAATGTGCTCTTTCTCCAGATATGGACGAGTGTGCGCTGGGCACAGATGACTGTGACAGTGACGCAACGTGCACGAACACGCCCGGATCGTTCACATGCGCGTGCAACAGTGGCTACCAGGGAGACGGCAGGAGCTGTGTTGGTGAGATCATTTAATCAAGAGCATCACATTTTGTGCATCCTTGTAGATATAGACGAATGTATCCCATTATAGTTGGTCCTATTGTACATCGGAGATTTTCGGCAGCGTCATGCAGGTTACAGAAAGCTACAATACATACTTCAATGCCAACGTCAATGACAGGATTCTTAGAGTGAACTGATTTTCTTGATATACTATATATATATATATTCCTTAAATGTATGGTATGATCTACAGTTATATTTCAACATATAATGTGCTCTTTATTCAGATATTGACGAGTGTGCGATGGGCACAGACGATTGTGACGGTAACGCAACGTGCACGAACACGCCTGGATCGTTCACATGCGCGTGCAATAGTGGTTACTGGGGAGACGGCAGGAGCTGTGTCGGTGATTTGATGAAAAGCGCTTGTGCATGCGAGGCAGTACTTATGATCATTGTTTGAACATTGGGACAAATTGGGACGATTTGGCACCCTGGCTCTAAGGGGTTTGGGGCAGCCGGAGTTTGGGCGGAGAATACTGTAGCGGGCATTAGGGCTTTTCCCTACAAAAAATCTATCGCTTATGAGCGCCAGCGTCTAGCATCTAGGCTAAAAAAAGTAATGGTAATTGCTATTGCAAAGTCCTTTACCTTATTGATAAAACCATTGCAATCCAAACTTGCACTCAGTCTTTTTCAGCCTTATTATATACTGAAAGCTCCTTTTTTAATTCCTGGCTTAATTTTACAATGAAAATAAACGTACTGTAAATTTAGAACGTTACATATAATTTACGAGTTTTTTTATATATTTTGTATTTGTGTGCTTTGTGCTGTTATATTTTTTCAATAGTTGTGTGTGACATTCTGTCCTTTGATGTAACGATTATTTCATTACCGTTCAACGACAAAATGTGTTTGGATGAGCCTTAAGTAATACCTATGATAATCAATATCATTTTCAATTATATTATTATTATTATGCATTCTACCAACATGAGAATATCATGTTTGTTTTTTCCAGAGTGCCCTGTAATAACACCACGAGACCTCGATACAGGTACTCTACTTTTACAGTATCGCTGCGTTGCCATTGACTGCCACGAACATTTCGTTTTGTATTCTTAGTAATTAATCCGGGAAATGCAATGATCAATTCAATGCAATCAAAAGTGTATTATCCCAAATAATCTCCATGGTGGTAGAATAATTTGGTTCTCCTATAAACAGTAAACACGTTAGATCACTTCAAGGACAACTAATGAACAGAACAGAAATTGTAAGCAATAGAGACGGTACATGTAAGCCTTAATGAACCTTTTTTTAATTTATTTTCTTCAATTTTTAGTATTCGACTATTCGCGTATGAATAGCTGGCTTTCGTCAACCAGACTGAGACGATTGACTGGGTACAATCTTAAACTAAAGCAGTTTAGGGACGCACTGAAGGAGCTACGTGAACAAGATGGATCCCGTATCCGTGACTTGCAGGACACCGATAACCTGGTCATCGCCCCGCCCCGCTGGGTCCTGCAGTACCTGCAGGACGCCTCCGCCCCCAACACGGGCCTGCAGCTGCCGGAAATACGGGACTTCGACCCTTCTCGTGGTTTGCCAGGTATGCATCAATGCATATGGGGCGTGTCTTGTAATTTGTCATTTTTGTATATACGTACGCAAACTCTTTCACTTCACGGATACTCGTCCTTGCTGTAAAGTTTGCCTTTTGGTGTCAATATGAATAAAGAATCTCCATACTGGAAATCCGTTTCATCTTCGACATTGCAATTAGAAAGAGTTGAAGCCACATATTGAACCCAGAAAAGCAATTTTAGGGCAGCAAAACTGTCTCTTGTCTGTTGTAGTTTAAGTGGATTCAATCCTAGCCTAGTGCCAACTGATTACGTCGTTCAGGCAAAAATGCAATGCAGATTGAAAAAGGTTGCTTGTGTTTTATCGTAGGCTATTTCTACATATTTATAGGTGATAACTAAAAACGTCTCACGTATGTAGTTTCTGAGGTATTTAAATAGCTTCAAACATGAAATGATTGCGAAAATGTGCTAAGAATGGCAGTAAATGTTAGCATACATGTAATACAGACTTTTCCGCTCTGAAATTGTATTGGATGCCATTAATAGTGGATATACAGAAACGTATATGCTATTCATATTACGCTAAGAGTAAGTAGCAAGTAGATTGATACTGAGCACTGACAAAATGCCGCGTTACTCTAAAAAAACAGCAAGTAATACGATATCGTGTTTTTTTTTGCATTGCAGATCAACTACCCAGGACCTTCATTCAAAATATCCAGGGCCGGAAGTACGCCGATGACTTTCTGCCGAATATCGACGCGCATTACACACAAATGGCTGCAAACCTTGACTTCAGCAACCTCATAGATCTCAACTGCCCTACTCCTCATAACATTGAACTTGACTCTCGCTTTACCTTGATCTACATTCCTACAACCATTTGCTTTTATGTCGATAGGATAAGGGACGAGCTCAGGCAAACCATCGATGTCTCAGTGTTCCGAGACGGATATTGGATTGATCTGGAGATAAGCGCTGACTAATAATGAGTAGCACTTTTAAAGGCACCCAATGCGATTTCAGGGCAGTAAAATTGGATTCTAAGAGTCAATTTCATGGTAATCTTTTTAAGTGTAGAAAGTTTAATCAAAACTACACCATAGCATACTGATATCTGCGAGGCACAAATGCGATGGAATACGGTTGTTTGGTATCTTAGGCTGGTTGTACCTGTTTATTGGTGGTACTAAAATAAACTGTAAGTGACTCCTCACGTAGCTTCTTTAGAGCCATTTCAAACACTTCAAGTATGAAATGAAGCGATGAAACGTACGACGAAATATCAATATCACGAGAATTCAATCATCTGGAATAATTTTCTATTGCATCCCGGAAAATGCATTGAATGCCTTTAACGGTCAGATTCTATGCTAAGACCCAGATATACTACTATTGTTTCTATTAATCAGCTTATGGGGTGAAGTCCTTAGGTGTTGTAAAAGGATAATGAGCTTTCTCCACACATTTGCTAATGCAATGCATGATGCTAAAGCTCTTGCTAGTTTCTATTTCTAGGTAAATTAAGTATGATTACCATTATGTACGACCACTTTACAGTGGGAAATAGAGGAATTATGTTAAAGGTATACATATATATATATATATATATATTTACATTTCTAATCCTCTATCATATTTATAGCAATATGATAGAGGATTAGAAATGGCAAACATTTAGATATTGAACGCTTAATGTATGCTACAATATAAATTTTTGGCACTTCAGTATATTTACATACATACCTATATTTGCAAACCTCATAAAGAAACAGATATACCTAATGCTATAGTTAGAATTTCAAACAGATTTAACGCCCTATGAGGAAAATGTGCGGCGAAGATTGAAAAGTTAATTGCGTGCGTTTTATTTGGTTATTGTATTTTGTTGATATAGACACATGTGTAGATCTCTCTTTTATATATATATATATATATATATATAGAGAGAGAGAGAGATATATATATATATATATATATATATATATATATATATATATAGAGAGAGAGAGAGAGAGAGAGAGAGAGA